GGCCAATACATATATAGACACCACATAATAATTACTCCATACCTTTAGACATATGGTATATTTCCCGTGGACCACAACATCGTCTGTTTATAATTAGTTAGACTTTTAGGGATGCTGTATGTTAATATTGTATTAATAAATTAATATATTACTTTAAAAAAAGAAAAAGGGAAGAAGAATAGAACTTTACTGATTTAAAACTTACACAGGGAGAGAGAGAGAGAGAGAGAGATAGAGAGAGAGAGAGAGAGAGAGAGGGAGAGGAGATAGAGAGAGAGGGGGGTTAACGTCCACTCGCTACAAACCAGATCATTTCGGGACTAACATATGGTTCAATTTTATTTCAATAATTCGCTTGCGCGTAGGGGTCTATAGCAGTGGAAGGAAACCGGATGACCCGGAGAAAACCCACGAGGTTGGACAGGCAACCATACTCCTTGTCACACCGGGGAATCGAAACCACGCCAGTTGACTCAATGACAGACCTTATGATAAAGCGCGCATGTGCTAACCATTCGGCCATCCAACCCCCCTAAAACTTACACGGTTACATGCATACATGAATAATAAACTGTATATAAAAACAATAAACATGATTACAATAAGTTAAATGATTGGTATTGTCTATATACGTACATTAAAATATTGTTTTGGATGAATAAGTTGTATTTACAAAAGCTCAACAATACAACTGTATACAAAAGATCCTAAGCATTTATAGGTACATGTTACAATAAGTTAAATTATTGGTATACAAAAGCTCTTCAGCTTTTTAATAGTTCTGCATTTTTATTCATCATCAATAATTGCATTGTTAAAATTCATGTAATTATGAAGACTATGGTCATGATATGGGTGGGTGTTATAAATTGTTCTGGCATGATACTGTCCTTCAAGATACTGTGGTGAATTAATCGCCACAAATCCTGGATCTGACAATCAGTATCGTATGAGACTTGTATGTTTAGCCGATCATGATAAACTATGATTTATAACACTTGTCAAAGATATGATTGAATCCTTTATCATCCAGACTTACTACCTAGGTTAATATGTGAAATTGGCTATCGCGAAACCTTATTGGATAACAAAAGTTTTAAATCTTTGTCTATACGTGTCAAAAATATTGTTATCTGTCTATATGAAAATATATACAAAGTCTAGGAATGAAAAAGAAAACTGTCTGGATTTGAGTTCCACACAATTCGATTTTTGTAATATAAAGGTCTTTACACAATCCAAGTTTCGGCAAAATCCAGCTATTCGAGGACTCTTCAAATGTCATCGATGATTACTGGAAATAACCATTTAACAACAAAATATTTAATACCATTTCCCGTAATTTCTTCGGTTATTTAATTACAAAAATTGTAAGTTTATGACCTTCTCAAGAAAGTCTGAATTTAATAATGGTCTAGAGTGTGTTGACAGCAGTCTGATTATGTTGACAACAAGAAACTTCTAAAACTTAGTTGAATAACCGTGCAGACCTGTGGGTAGGCCATATAAAAGTCCCATAAAAATCATCAACGACGGCTAAACAAATAAGAATATTCTTAAAGGAGCTAAATCGCTAATATTTGGGATCTACAAATTGACACAAATGGTTAGCAACGCATATAGTAATATAATATGAATGGGTATAAACGGATTTACATTCAATCGTTTCGGTTTTTACTCTGATTTCAAATCGGTTATGTTCGGCGAAATACGCCAGAAGTCTCAATCGAATGATAATCTCTAGCGTCTGGTTATTCCAGTCTACACCGATAGTATTTATTGCGCATGCTCTCCAGAGAAGAATATAACGTCGCCGTTTGACATGACTTGTGGAACATGTCTAGCCTCTTTCTTCCAGCCCGTTGTTACAATTGACGCTGAAACGCATTATGGTACACGATTCGCGTACCAATGGTTAAATGTTTATTTTGTCTTAATTATTGGATATCAGAAGCCCATCTTTTCCTGGTAAGATCACAACACCAATGTTGACTTTGGATGGTAGGGCCTATTGATTTAGAGACTTAGCTACTTTAATAGGGAGTGTAGACTACTGTCAGACTATCCGACTTCTAGGTAGATAAGAATTCGGGTGTGAAGGAAGGGTTAAAGCATTTGCTAGAATATTTGTCATATGACACGTGAAAGGTAGCTATGTTATGGGGGAGAAATATTGGCCAATCTGTTTGTATACAACCATACGTAAATACTTGGTTAAGTATATTAAGAGTACTTGGATCCTACCTTTACGACGCGTGTCTATCTGTATGTAATACGGGCAGTGCCCAGTAACTATTTTTATTACACTTGTGTGAATCAATGGAGAAACGTGAAATAATACTGTGATGACGAACTTGTGGTATTTATTATTCTTAGATAAATTTATTTGCGCTGAGAGTAGGTAAGTGATTTGTGGTTTAAGCGGTTTATTGTTCAGTTAAAGGTCTATATAATACAAGACATAATATGTTACATATTGATGTTAAACATTAATTGGTGTGGAGTAACGATTTAATAATAGATTATCGTTTTCTTATTTTCAAAGGATATTTTTTTTCAATGTAAGTAAGGAGCATCATTAGATATGTGTTTATAGAATTATAGAATTTTAATGATTCCAGTGGAATAATGTGTTATATAAAAGATTATCAATTCGATAATTTTAAAGGACATTAAGTTAAACATTGGCAAGGTATGTAGTTATAGTTAGAGATGCATAATGTAAGGTGAACAAATATAAACACCTTCTTTGAGCGGCGGGGGGTTGGATGGTTGAATGGTTGAATGGTTAGCGTGTGCGCGCTGTAACATAAAATCTGCCATTGAGTCAACTGGCGTGGTTTCGATTCCCCGATTGACGTGACAAGGAGTGGGGTCGCCTGTACAACCTCGTGGGTTTTCTCCGGGTCCTCCGGTTTCCTCCTACTGCTACAGACCCTACGCGCAAGCGAATTATTGAAATAAAATTAAACCATATGTTAGTCCCGAAATGACCTAGTTTGTGTCGAGTGGACGTTAAACCCCATCTCTCTCTCTCTCTCTCTCTCTCTCTCTCTCTCTCTCTCTCTCTCTCTTTGAGCGGCATTTAGCTATTGACACACGTAATAAACACACAAAAACATAATATGGAACACAATTACTATTTTAATTAAAGCGACGTTTCGTCGTGGGATCTGTATATTACTTTCATAATCATTTGCTTGAAAACGAGGTACAAGTGGAGTAATAGTTCTATTACAGATTCTGTCCTAATTAATTACTATTAAAAGATTTTTAAATTTAAAGTTAAGCTTGGGTACGGGTTATCCCGGTATCGTTCTATGGGGGCTATGTTTTTTTCTGTACAGCATTAGTTATGTGTTTATCTTCTAGAAGCTGTTTTCTATTGTTTTTTTGTCTGAAAAATATAAGTAGTATAGACCAAAATAATTACTTCGAGTGGAGTAATGGTTTTTATAATAGACTATTATTAAAAGATTTTTAAATTTGAAATTAAGTTTAGCTTGGGTACGGGTTGTCCCGGTATCGTTCTAGGGGGCTATGTGGTTTTTTTCTGTACAGCTTTAGTTGTGTTTATCTTCTAGAAGCTGTTTTTTATTGTCTGAAAATACAAGTAGTATAGACAAAAATAACTACTTTGAGTGGAGTAATGGTTTATAAAAGCCTCTCGATTCAATATTAAATAATTTAAAGGATGTTTTAATTTGAAATAACGTTAAGTTTAAGTAAGTTACATCATTAGTAATGTATATTTTCTATTTCTTGTTTAGTACAGCATTAAATTATGAAACCATTGACTCCATTATTTATCTCGGATAGATCACTTCAAGATGCATTATGTAAGAGTTATGAGAAAGCGCTGATCGTTCTTGCTATAATAGTTCTAAAAAGATAATGGAAAATGAACATATTGAAAATTTAATTCAAATAACTTTATTATAGGCGAAGTGATATAACTTTTTCAAGATGTTACGTAGAATATTTTGTTATCGTAGCAAAGGTAATTGACAACCGAGACTAATTTTCGATTATCCATTTTATCGTTAGAAATTTTAATTTGACGGATGTACAAATCCGTTGATTTTAGGCTTGCCATGTGAACAAATCTCTAAATATAAGATTTGAAGCCAACAAAAAGACATGCAATAGGCAAATGTAGCTCTTGCATAATGCATCTTTAAGCTAAGCATCTTGAAAACCGACTCAGTCGAAATAAAGTTCCAAGTATATCAGACAAAATATATTTTTGTTTTAATCCGTGCTTTTTCGCTTTCTCAAACAAAATTTCAAATATTATTTGTATTATCTATATTCTAACGTATATCTAAAATGTATTTTAATTTTAGCTATCTCATATTATATTATTTCTAGGAAATCGTATCTGTCTTTGCTGTATTAATATATTGTTTGTTGTGTTTATATTTTGTCGAACAGTTGAAAATTACACGTATTGTTTATTCGCCATCTTATAAATGCGTTTCATGTTGCAACTGACAAATTACACGCAGCCATCTTTAATCCTAAATTCGCCTTACAGATATGGAATGGGGGTTGGATGGCCGAATGGTTAACGCGTGCGCGTTGTATCATAAGGTCTGCCATTGAGTCAACTGGTGTGGTTTCGATTCCCCGGTTGTACGTGACAAAAGGTAGGGTCGCCTGTCCAATCTCGTGGCTGGACATTACTGAAATATAATTGAACCATATGTTAGTCCCGAAATGACCCAGTGTTTGTCGAGTGGACGTTAAACCACACCTCCCTCTCTCTCTCTCTCTCCTAAATTCGACTAAATTCGTCACTGAGTGAATAAATATGTCGGTCAAATTGCTTTGTGTCTGTTATCAAGCAAATTTATTTGTATCAAACAGCGTACGTTTCGTATGTTATAACAGTTCTTTTCGTTTGAGGACTTCACATAACCAGGAAATTGAAGTATTGAAAGCATTATATATTTGGAAATGCTGCAGTGATTTTAAATCTTCTTTATGTATTATTTCAGATAAATCAAGATGAGGTATAAAACAGATATTTTTGTTATTGTGTTATTATCGATGGTGGTGAATGGGAATGCTGCTGGTAAGTTGTTCTTTGTTAAATTACTTCGGGTGATGCTAATTGTGGGTCGATTAGAGAGGTTTGTGAATTTCTGACGGTAAATTACTTCGCGTGATGCTAATTGTGGGCCGGTTAGAGAGGTTTTGGAATTTCCGACGGTAAATTACTTCGCGTGATGCTAATTGTGGGCCGGTTAGAGAGGTTTGGGAATTTCTGACGGTAAATTACTTCGCGTGATGCTAGTTGTGGCCGGTTGGGGAGGTTCGGGTTTTCAAACGGTAAATTGGACCGAATTCGAGTCAACAATGGCTGCTTTATATAAATGAGTATTTAGGGGAATACTAACCCAAACCCTTTTAAGAGGGGTAAAAGATGAATTGGATCCAAGTTCAGTCTTCTAAAAAGGGTTAGAGTTAAGGTCGGTATTCCCCAAAAGCACTCATTTATGGGGAAAGGATTCAGCAATCATCGGAAATTTCCGAACCTCTCCAACCGGCCTACTATTAGCATCACCCACTTACACCAAATAATTGAATGAGAATTCAAATTTTCTATTGTTTTAAGCGAAATGAATTACGATCAATAATCTGCAAGAATGATTCTGTACATAAATTTGGAGCTGGGATGATTCCGGGTTCAATCCAGGTGTTGTCCGAGAAACGTCCTCTGAATTTTCCGCCGTGATTTTTAATTGCCGGTGGTGCATGGCGGAGGTTCTGGCAAGGACGTTTATCCCCCTTCATTTCATTTAAATTTAATTGTAAATTCCCTTATTGGTCCAAATTTTAGACTAAATTCACAACGGTGAGACCATAAAACTGATGGATTATCTTTTCACTCTTTTCATGTCAAGTATATACTTTTATAAAAAAGAGCCTTGGTGGTTCAGTGAGTAAGACGTTGGCTCGCTAAACTGGAGGTCTCGTGTTCGATCCCGGTGTATGTCCGTCTTCATTAACCCATTAGGTGCAGAAAAGTAGAACGTTAAATCCCATTTCATTTCATTTTATTTCACATTTAAAGAATAACATTTCTCTTCTCTTTTAGCTAAACTGCTGATAAAAGTTAGACCACAACCCGCGCGAATATATCAGTTAGCACCACCAGGTGTCGCTGTATTGACAGTAACAGGACTTGATGAAGTCACCGGTGAACAGATGAACGTTTTTCGTTTTTCTAGCAGCATAGACTCGAGTTATTTTCAAATTGATTCGGAGGGTGTGATGCGAACCAACAGGACCGTTGATAGACGTGTTGGCACGGTTTTTAATTTCTTCATCTTTGGTACTTTACAAGGAACAATCAAGTATAAGTACATCGAGGTTATTGTCTCAAAAGAGAATCTGTACCCACCAGTGTTTGAAAGAGAGTTCTACAAAGTATCCGCTTACAGATACCTGGACAACAAAGTCATCGTAAGGGTTGTGGCGCATGACGGGGATGCTGAAGATTACAATAAAGACTTTAAATATTTTATTCCCGATCCTCCAGCCTCTGATTTGTTTAAGATTAATGATTATGGGGAGATAAGTCTGGTTAAAGCTCCGCCAGACGATATGAAGTCGGTTTCGTTCCACGTATTCGCCATTAACGAAGGTTCTCCAGCTAGAACCCGCAACACTAACGTCACCGTCACCTTCAAAGATTTCCAACGTAAGTTCATAAAACATTCAGGGTGTGTTTGATTAAATGAAATCCGGATTCGTCATGGTGTGTTTAATTGAATGATAGAGAGAGAGAGAGAGGGATGGGGAGAAAACCCACGAGGGGAATGAAACCACGCCACTTGGCTCAATAACAGACCTTATGATGTAACGCGCACGCGTTAACCATTCGGCCACCTAACCCCCTTAATTGAATGAAATTGCATGTTTAATTGAATGAAATCCGTGTCATTCAAAGTGTGTTTAATTGAATGAAAACCGGATCATTCAAAGTGTGTTTGATTGAATGAAATTCGGATCATTCAGGGTTTGTTTGATTGAATCAATTCCATATCCGTTTTATACATCTCTCCAATTCACTACAAAATATTAACACAATAGATTGGGGGCCATGGTCGACAAGATGGACACTCTAAATTCAAATTGCTGAGTATAAATACATAATTCCCAATTCAGATACTGTCCTACCAGACATTTTGTAAATGACCCGTCAAATTTTGACGCTGAAAGACGACCATGATTAAAAAGACATTATACGCAGTCTGTGGGATGTTTGTCTTTAACTTTGCTTAATGTCGTTATCCTGACGTAATGGTAGCAAAATATGGATATGAGCACAAAGCTATGATGTACCCATTAAAAGGAAAATAGAAGTGACTTCAAAGTAGTCTCGTCTTTAAATCTACGTACTGTCAGTCATTTTGTTTAAAAATGGGAACTGTCACACATCAAAAAAGGACGCCGCATAGTTTTCCATAATCTCCTATATAATGACAGAATTACAAGTTTTTGATTGTGCAAGGTGTCAAAATAAATTTAGAGCTTGTGTAATTAGAAACTGTAACGTGTAGAGTGGCCATACCACCTGGATCTGTTCTCCACCCCCACCCTCTCTGTCTGACACACACGTATCTCACATGGCCGATGTTCCCCTTTTTAATTGATGCAAAGAAACAATTGTTCTTGCGGATTGGTTTTCTTATCATTGATATATCCAAATCGCCCCGGTCCCCATTCTCCCCCATTGGAAACTATTGGTTCTGCCATATGATTTCAGTGTTATTTTCACGTTCAAAACCCGTTATAACCAATAACCATAAACACAAATATAACAATGAAATGAAAGTAGGATTGTCGTCGGTTCGTTTGTTCATATGACTTAAAGTCCGCTTCCTCCGACAATTTTGATGTCTGTATTAATTTCTTCTTTTAAATTTACAGAAGCTGATATTTATTGTTTTATTACTGGTACTGATTATATAAAACTGTGCTGGAAGAATCCCATGGTAGGACGAAACATCTCCGGATTTATAGTTAAAATAACTGGACGGAGAAACCGATTGGATTTTGTACCTGCGAATATTAATACCACTGAGGTTTGTCATGTTCTAGAACAGACACAGGTGGGACATTATTACAGGTACAAGGTTAATATACAAGGCGCACCTGATAATGACCTGGAACTTGTGTTAAATATAACTGGCGTAGGTAAGTTGTTGACTTAACCTTCTTAATAATGTCATTGATTGGTTGCTATTGGATTTGGTAATTATCTTCATGTATATTTTTATGAAATATGTTTAAACATATATTATGCAAGAACTAAATCTGCCTATTGCGGGTGTTTGTGTAGACCTGAAATGTTATATAAACTATTAATTAGAAATTAATTAACGTATCCAGACCATAATCAACTCTCGATGGCATCGGATACTCGAGATTTTAACTAGATTAAAACGGTTCGCCATTTAAAAATTTAATTTAAAAATGGGAAAGCGAAGCTACGTCCCTATTATACCAGTGCTCTGGTTACCACTGTGCACACATCTTGTCAAAACTACAAACAATGACAACTTGACTGAGAATGAAGTAATTTGAATGAAAATTTCAATATTTTCTTTTTTTATCATCTATTTTTGAATTATTATAGCAAGAATGACTAACTCTTTATTAAACTCTTAACTAATGTATCTTTAAACACTATTTAAAAACATATTTATTTCAAAAATGTTTTTGAACTGTTTTGTTGTGAATGCGCTTAGATACACTCATGTGTAATGAAGCGCTATATAAATCGAACAATAATAATAATAAAAATAAAAAACCAATATTACTTAAAATTATGAAAATATTTGCTAAAAATCATCATATTTTAATGAAATCGATCAAAACACTAATATTACTTAAATTATGAAAACAAATGATTAGAAGATGAATATTATACAATAGATCAGATATAATGTTCAGAAAACTCTCTGTATGCCGAGTGAGAAAACGTAAATTAGTCTTTCGTTTCGGTAAAAGCGCTTACTAGTTTCATGGACGACATAACTTCTAAGGGAATTGATCCATTGTCGAATGATAATTAAAGAAATATACATAACCATGTTTCTAGGATCGGTATCCTACCATCTTATGAACCTATTGCTCCGGTCATCGAGCAAATCGCTTGGCAAGGTTAAAGATACATTATGGGAGATTAGATAAAGAGCTGTCAGTTCTCGCTATAATAGTTAAAAATTATATAATGTAAAGGTGATATGCTGAAGATTTCAGTCAAATTATTTCACTGTGAGCCAAAAACCCTCATTTTAAAAACATTGTAGATTCGATTGGCATTGTCACCGCTGTTGCAATAGGAAACAAATTCTCGATTATCCATTTTTGCGGTTAATCATCGATGGGAGTAGAACAGCAGATTGGATTCAAATCTAATGAAAATCGGACCCATAAGATGGCAGCGAGAGTTGATTATGGTCTTTTCATGTTAACAAATGCCTAATTAATAATTTATATAACATTTCAGACCCCCCAAAAAGACCCGCAATAGACAGATTTAGCTCTTGCATAATGCATGTTTAAGTGTTCTTGTCTATATACACATGAAAATTATACGCACTTCTCACTCATCCATGTTGTAAGTACACCTTTGATGAATAGATGTTTGATACATTCAACTTTAAATCCAGAGAAGTCGTGTCCGACTCTAATTTCCCACATTTATCTGAACGATTTTCCAAATACTTTCTAAGCATTGACCATTTTATCATTTCAGGTTTTACGTCAGAGTGCCTGACTAGTCAGTTTAATCCCTGTAATTATTTAAATCCTTGTAACCATCAAGGTGTGTGTATAGGTGCCAGTGATAATGCTTTACAATACACCTGTGAATGTCCCAAAGGTTGGCGGGGTAAAAATTGTTCCGAGGCAGACATTTGCATTCAGAACCCTTGCATGAACAATGGCCAGTGCTTGTTTCTTGGACATCAAGTATACAAGTGTATTTGTGATGAGAACTTTATTGGCAAGGATTGTCAACATTTTAATATCTGTACGATGTATCCATGTCAAAATGGGGGATGGTGCCGGAATGAAGACGATGGGAAGTTCTCTTGTGATTGTCCGGATTATTTCTCTGGTGAAAACTGTGAGGTACCAGATCCATGTCAACCATCTCCTTGTGGTGGACGGGGCTTATGTAGCAGAATCAGTAGTACTGAATTCATGTGTGACTGCAATATTGGTTATAGTGGTAAGAGATGTGATGAGATAAATAGGTGTTTGTTGGACTCCCCGTGCATGAACAGCGGAACTTGTCTCAGCACTAGCAACAATACCTTTACCTGTTCCTGTACACCTCAAACTACTGGTAGATACTGTGAACAGTTCAATCCTTGCTCCCAACAACCTTGTATGAATAACTCAACATGTAAAGCCATGGGTGATTCTAGATATCTCTGTGAGTGTCTTCCAGGTTATCACGGTGGAGAATGCCAGTACTATGACCCATGCCGTGTGAAGACTTGCAACAACGGAACGTGCACGTTAACGGGAATCGGGACCCTACATTGCATCTGCCAGGATGGATATTTTGGCGAAAGTTGCGAATTTCTGGATCCTTGTTACGGTATGCCCTGCGGTAATGGTGGAATGTGTCGGAACATTTCTTTAACAGAATATAAATGCGACTGCTTCCAGGAATGGTTCGGCGAGAAGTGTGAAAATCTAAAAAGTTGTACGTTAAACCTGTGTCGGAACAATGCCACGTGTTTGAATATTCCGCCGAGCTCTTACGAATGCATCTGTAAATCGGGTTACTATGGTGACCTGTGTGGTATGTATAATGCATGCTACGACCTGCCATGTAAAAATGGCGGCGAATGTGTAAACAACACCGAGGGCTACCTTTGTAAATGTCTTAACGGATATGGAGGACAGAATTGCGAATACAGAGACTTGTGCTCTGGGGATCCTTGCAATGAAGGCACCTGTATGACTGTATCAGACAACCAGTTCGCCTGCAACTGTTCTGCAGGTTATACCGGCGAACTGTGTGACGTCCGCGATTACTGTTACGAAAACCTGTGCAAGAACGGCGGAGAATGCATCTCTACAGAGAACGACTTCATCTGCGATTGTGTAAACGACCATTACGGCAAATTGTGTCATTATTTGAACTACTGTAAATCTGAACCGTGTAATAATGGCACGTGCCATCTGGAATACAAATCAGATGATGTTAATGATGGCGGACCGGAAGTAGAACATCAAGAAGGGTATACATGTACGTGTTTTGATGGTTATACTGGTAGTCGTTGTGAACATAGAGTTATGGATTGTTCTAATATCGTATGTTTAAATGGTGGTGATTGTGTTGACAGTATATGTTTATGTCCAGAAGGATATACGGGTAAGTTTGAACAGACCAGCTTCTGATTCGTTAATAGAATGAAATGATATTAAACTTTCTACTTTTATGCTCCTATACTGGGCTAATGAAGACTGGCATAAGCCATACAGTGTGCTATGAGGGGGAATTTTGCCCGAACAGCGGCAGTATCCTGCTCTTAAATCGAATTCCAACTGTCAAGGGTTATTTTACGTGCATGCCAATGTGCACACGGGACCTCGAATTTTCGTTCCATTTGAACGACTATACGGTGTACCTTGTCAGACCCCCAAGTCCTACACCACTGACAATGGCGACCTTATTCTGATTATACGTGACTCCCCATACAAAAGTTATGTCTGTCTACAATTCTCTCTACTTGAGACCAGGCACGGAGCTAGTTGACCGACATTTTACTTCATATATCGACGAATTTAGTCTAAGACACTAAATGTACCGGTACTTCTAGAATTTTGGAAAAATTTATTCCACTTTCATTTTCATATTTAATCATGTTGAAACCATTCAGAACGGATTAGAACAGCATAACAAAATAAGTTTTCAATATGGCGGTCATTCAGGACAGAGATCTGTTCTCAGACTAGATAGTTCTCCGTGTGCAGAATGGCGACTCCAAATGATGTGTTGACTATGAATGATATTTACAAATGGCCCTTCTTATTAACGCCCATAACCTTGTTTTCCATTCACAGACCATATTTAATGTATTTCACAGAAATAAAACTACCGACATTCCATCAAACTATTCCATTATTGTAGACTGCTTACTGATTTTGTCTTGAATAGGCCTCAATACGGGTCGATTATCAAGTCCTAAATCTTTAATAGCGAATAACCTCCACCGACAGGATGTTCGAGATTCATTGCAAAACGATATTAAAATATTAGTGTATACCATAGAATATCAACTTTAAACATGATACCCATGCAACAAGCATTTTCCTTCCAGAATTTGGCGTATAAATTCTCTACAAGTAGACTTTTTCTACCAGTCACATTTCGAAAAACTTTAATCTATTATTTCACATGACCGTGGCACAGTTAACTTGACCGATAATTTTTTCTAAAACCACTTTTTTTTCTGTTCAGTATTTACCAACTGTGATATTTTAGAATAAACTCCAAAGACAATATATCAGTGTTATGCCATTGTGTGTTTATGTGCATTCGATTGTTATGTTAGAGATATTTTTAAACCCTTGTCTTGCCATTAAAATTACACTAAAAGTGTTACTTATACAGAAATCAATATTGTTAAGAAAACATTCTGTTGAGATGTCGATAAGGCATGTTTTTTAATTAAACAAAGGACAGTTTTATTCATAACCGAGATATGTCTAGAAAAGTAAAATGCTCCTGGGTTAACTTTGATTGACAGTCATTGCTATGATTCCCCGATGTTAGTGGTGCAATGTCAATTCGTTCGGATGGGACGAAAAACCGAGGCCCCGTGTACACATTGACGTGCACGTAAAAGAACCCTTGACAATTGTAGAGTATTCTGTGCCGCCGCTGTCCGGTCACAAGTTCCCTCACTGCACACTGGATGGTAAATGTCCGTTGTCATTATCTCGGGTGATGCACAAATTAAGACCAGACCCGTCACATGGGGGGGGGGGGGCTGATGGGGCTGCTGGGGCATTTGCCCGGGCCCGACACTTTCTGGGGGATGGCAAATTATCTAAGTGCATACCAGAAATCCCCTTTGAATTTTTCTGAACTAGTCTCCTTGGGGGTGAAATAGCAAATCACCGACCTTCGTTTCCCCTAAAGCTGTGTACACCAGTTCATATTTCAACAAATAGAGAGGTTAGAATTACGATTTTTCCAAAATATACAGGATTTTTCGATCAAATGGAGGATTGAAGGGGAAATAAACATAAAAATAAAGTGTTAAAAGTATTTAAAAAAAGTTGTATTTTAAAATTTCTTTTATCCTAAAAAGTCAACTATACAGTAGCGTCACTGAAACTTTTGCCCAGGGGCGCCACATAGGCTTGCGAGAGCCCTGGTTTAGGCTTACCAACGCAGTGCAAAAGAAATGAGATTTGACTTCTTACTTTTCTTAATTATCGTCATACAGTGTGCTAAGAGGGGATTTTTTTCTCAAAGTCAACCCTGACAACATTTCTATCGCTAGTGGACATAAATTATATTACCACTAAACTAATCCCGAGAAAACTAGATTTTGATTTATATTTAGTAACTTGTATTTGATTGTATAGCTGAGATGTGAAGTTTATTTTTCCCTGGTCAGGTGAAGTATGTGAACATGTTGTATCACCGTGTGAACCCAGCCCGTGTCAGAATAACCAGTATTGTCAAGTATCGGGACATCGTTATGTATGTAAATGTGTAAATGGAGCTGCCAGCCCTGATTGTATTAAAGGTAAATAAAGTCATCTATACAATAAACTTTGGTGACATTTAACTTGTGTGTTGAAACGTAGGTGAATGTCCGTAAAGCCTAGCGTACACGGGCGATTTTCGTCGGCTATTTGTCAGAGAGAGAGAGGGGGGGGGGTTAACGTCCACTCGGCACAAACTAGGTCATTTCGTGACTAACACATGGTTCAATTTTATTTCAATAATTCGCTTGCGCGTAGGGGGTTTTAGTAGTGTACTGAAACCGGAGGACCCGGAGAAAACCCACGAGGTTGGACAGGCGACCCTACTTCTTGTCACGTACAAGAGGGAAATCGAAACCACTCCACTTGACTCAATGACAGACCTTATGATACAACACGCACGCATTAACGATTCGGCCACCCAACCCCCACGGCTATTTGTAAGTGACCATATTGCTAGAAACAATCGACCGTGTGCGGAACAGCTATAGACTTTAGTCGCCGACGACGAGTTGCCAAATATCAAATTGGCGAAAAAGGGGCCACAGAATCGCCTATTTTACTAGTCACATGATCACCGGATGGAAATCCTTAAATCGTAGTCCGAAAAACTACAATGTAGATAGAGCTGGACGTACAGGACTACTTGACCACCGCACCTCCTCTCCCACCCACAAATAATGTCTAGAAGTATCACGTAACCCCTTTTTGGACCAGGAATTGGTAGTTAACCGCTACTCATCTTGTATTTTTTCTCGTTCTTCTTCTTGGGGTGACGTTCTTCAAAAAGCCTAAGGCTCAATCAAATCAAGTCCGATCGACTTTGTTTTTGAACAAATCTGTATCGATTTGGTGAATTAGATTTTTGAATTTCATCCAACAGCATGGTCAGTTTCTGGTCCATAGTATGATCCAATCTGATTAAAACACAGATCCTATTTCGTTTCGTTTTTATAGTTCAAAATTTCGTTTTACTTGTCTTTACTACACTAGAATCTGGAAGGGTTGAAGAGTTCTTATCATTATCGAGTTCTGAATGATGTGAGCTATTAGCCAATGAAACGATCTGTTACGGCGAGTTTTATGCGTGTTTTGCACGGAACTGTGGGTAATCCACTAGTAACATCAATGCTGATTGGTTAATCAAATGTCTAATGTCATAGGGTCAAAAACCGCTCGTATGACCTCTAGCTGATGCGACCTATGGCTACAACCGGTCAGATCCTCATGTAGTGTAAGCCATCGAAATTTTTAAAAAACAAAACGAAATAATAGATCTGTACTTTAATCAGGTCGTAGTACGATCGCACTTGTTTTAACAATACAATCGTTGTGAAGACTTTAATCCTGTCTATTTGTAGGATGTACAGCAGAAACTACCATAGATAAAACTGGACAATATGATTGGCCAGATACACAGATTATAGATACCGCCGAATTACCTTGTCCATATGGTGCTAAAGATGGCGATAATGGCCAGGCTACTCGGGACTGTTTTAAACAAAATGGTAAAGCAATTTGGGATAAACCGAATACATCAATGTGTGCGGAGGTTAGTCTGGTATTACTTTTATCTGTGTTTTGATCGGCTATAAACACATCATCTATTCCTAGTACCAAACATGTCTGCTTTTTATAAAATACACCCATATTTTGTAGTTGTATAGTACTTTAGTCAATATGAATGACGCACAGCCTTTCCTGTTTGACACCCAGAACGCTCTGAAAAATTCGTTCAACTTTAATAAACGAATTAGTTTGTTTGTTAAAATAGATTAATCTGACCGAACCCTGGATTTTCCTTCGTATTTATATATATTATTGGTATAAAATGCGACAGAAATGTAAGCCATGGATCTTCGTTCTTATAAATGTGGTTTTTCTGTTTGTTCGTTTGTTCCCCCCAATACAGATACACTAGGGATTGCCCCGTGGCCGAGCCTAGGAGTGACATAGGCCTGGTGGCGCTCCACTGTCATTTCCGGTTTCGGAGTTATACGACTCCGGGTAAACAGCCAGTATTTATTTATATCTTGTCGAATTATTATTTACTATCCTAATCCAAACGAAGTTAGGGAGAGGTGTAGAAATGGACCAGGTTCGTCCCCGCGTTGTTTCCGAGGCATATCTCATAAACCTTTTAAGATATATACTAATGTCCAAAAGAAAGTATACACACTAAAAATATGACAAAATGTGATAAAACTACACTGAACATGTCTCGTGCGTCCAAACTCAATATTTCTAAGAAAATAAATAGCAAAACAAATTGACATCGTACCCAAATACCGCATACAATGGAAAAACGACTTTGTTTGAAGCAGGACGAAATGCACAGTGTATACTTTCTTTTGGACATTAGTACACACCAAAACCTATTATGGAAACACATTTGTCTTAATATTTAGTGAATGGGGACACGGCGATATTCACGACTGGATCTCCTTGTTTAATATACATTTAGGGAAGAGCGTAAAATTTCATCCTTGGTCCTTTTCTATACACGTAGTTATCACATATTATATATTATATCTAAAATATGTTTAATTTATTTAAGATGGGCATTGGAGATGTAAATCAGCATTTAGATTACCTAAAATCTTTGACCTCTGACCCGTCTAATATGGGTCCTGAGGATGTCACAAGAGTTGCTGATGAATTGGAGAAGATTTATCAATTTTCATTGGAGAGTAAATCGGTAAGTACTGGTAGTTAAATGTGGCCTTGACTAGACACACCCTATAATATAGGCTACCTGTAGTATACACCACACCCCCATTCAGCACAACGAAAATTCAGTCAATCGGAAACCAAAGTTGAGGGGGGGGGGGCTCCTTTGTCAAATCAAGTAAAACAATAATTTGCTCTAATGTTGGCAGACATAAGCACTGGAGTTGTTAGATCTATTTCAACTTCAAGTTTGGTCGAAGGTCACGAGATATAAACAGGGCTAGCGCTAATCCAAACCCTAACCCTGGACTTAGCCCTAATGCTTACCCTAACCTAAATATCGCCAACAATCACGTGCCCTAACGTTAAGAAATGGATCTAGTCCACTGAGGTTGGCCAATGGTAATCGTCAAGTTTCTAGTTTCATTTAGTAAATTTGTCCTCCCTTGTTCATAAATCAAATCTAACGTAATCTACCACAGAAGCAACTAAATTACTTGATTAATTTACTTCAAGGTCAAGTGAAATGTCATTAGGTCAAGGGTATTTAAAGTAGAATGTATTCGAATTCTAATGAAATATTTTTTTATGTTAGACAAAAAATCTGAAATATGTAATCAAATTTATTTTGAAAGAAGACATTTTGTTATGATTTTGTTTTCATTCTTATCATTAATACAAGATAACTATGTTAGGTGGAGACTGGATAACCAAAGCTAAATATCGCCATGTTTGTTTTTTCAGGTAGCCAACAATATGGTAACAGTCGTTAGTAATCTTGCTGACGTCAATATGTCTGTAATGGCGGAAAGTAATAGCAAAAGTCAAACAAGCGACAGGTAGGCCTACACATATTTTAATTTCTATAGTTAAACGTTTTAAATGTGAGGTTATGGGTTAAGTCTTTAATTGCGTCAATTTAAATTCAGTATAGGTCATCCAAAACCAGCCTTGGGTGCCTGACCGTCACCACAACCAAAATAAAACAAACAAAAAACACATAAGCTAATAGAAGTATGTTGCACAATAATTTATGAATTGGGAGTCTTTTTATATTAGAAGTTATGATTGTATTCATCATCCGTGGATGTCTCATTACACTCGCCCTGTACGTTCAGGAACCGCCCTATTGAATCTGTGTCGAAATAAAAGTTTCGACCCCTAGTCAATTTTACTGCTAAACGGTCGCGTGTCAGTCTCTGCGAACGCCTGTACAATGTAAAGGAACATTTTAGTGAAACAATGAGATCTCGCTAGAGCCAGTATGTGCGACACAACATGCTATTAAAAATACGTCCCTTCTGCTAAATGACTTGGCAGAAGCCATTGAAATCTAAATAGAGGATAACGCACAAATGTATGTAACTCGGCCATATAAGACGAAACGAAGTTCAGGTAAGCAGGTGAATCAAAATTGGAATTTTTGAAAAAAAAAATCGATTGTAATTGGGCTAGGCAAAGCAATAAATGGCTGAAGATTCTCAACTTTTCAAAGATTCCAATGAAACCTACGCTCAGAGCTGACCTACCGTGGATTACACTTGTAGAAAATAGGCACTGCAGAAATTGAACAGATTCGACCACATTTGGTCTCTAAAATCACATTATATCTATGGTATGGGTATGGTTAAACTTTTACCACTCCTGATGTGTATAATATGATAAATGAGTTATCTGTAAGATTGTCAAACCTCAAATAACGGTATCTCTATGGTATCTCCGTGGTATCTCCAGATGTAATAATTAAAAGTGGTGTGTTCATAACAACCCATTTTACTCTATGAATGAAATGTTTGCTTTCTGTATTAATTAACGTCTCTACAAATCATACTTAGAAAAGTACTTGAGGTAGTTTTACACAACAACAACTCTTGTCTACGATATCACCCATAATGGAAGTGGGCGTTAAACGATGGACAACAGCTAAACTTCATTAAGACACTTCGATAACTAAAGATGATTTGTGGGTGGGTTTGTGTCAGCATTTGTCGCCGATAAATCGCCAGTGAGTTCGTATCGACCGTTATCACTAGTAATATATCTTGGTTTTAAAGTTGCAGAACCCTATTTATTATTATCTCTCCTCTAGATCTACATTTAGTATCCGACCGGAATCAGTCGTTCAAGCCCCAAACCTGAAGCTCGCTGGAAAGAGAGGAAGGGAGAAATAGGGTTTAACGTCCACTCGACACAAACTAGGTCATTTCGGGACTAACATATGGTTCAATTTTATTTCAATAATTCGCTTGCGCGTAGGGATCGTTAGCAGTGGGGAGAAAACCCATTTGGTTGGACAGGCGATCATACTCTAACCTGGGAATTGAAACCACGCCAGTTGACTCAATGACAGACCTTACAGCACGCACTCGCTAACCATTCGGCCACCCACCCCCCACCCCCCCTCGATGGAAACCACGGTCGTCGACCTTGTTTGTGTAATCAATACAAGACCTATGAAAGTGTTATCTTGGCAGGATTAGTAAATTAGGATGTACCAAAACACTCTTCACATGTCGTGATTCTCATTAACATTCTGTTTTTAGTTATTGGTGTATCAACTTTCTTACACGTCTTCACCTTAATACATTTTACTGTCTTTTTATAATTACCAAACCATAAAATGAAAACCGATGTTCATTCATTAACTTTCATAACATACAAACAACATTACGCATCTTATATATAACATAACCCTTAGCATATCTAATTATATCATACATATATTTTTTTATGAATAGGTATTAACTTTCATAACCTGCAAACATCATTACTCAGTTAATGTTTAAAGTAGCTAAGTCTCTAACACAATATTATCCAAAGTCTTGAACATTAAAAACCCGAATTATTTGTCAATTTAAATCAACATTGATGTTGTGATCTTACCGGGAAAAGATGGGCTCTGCTGATATCCAATATTTAAGATAAAATAAACATTTTACCATTGGTAGACGAATCGTGATATCCTTCTAATATCCAATATTTAAGACAAAATAGACATTTTATAATTGGTACACGAATCGTGTATCATAATGCGTTTCTGGGCTATATGTATCAAGGGACACAAAGAACGAAGCTAGACATATTCCACAAGCCATGTGACCCCCATAGTCTTATCTGGAATAACCAGACGCTAGAGATTGCCATTCGATTCAGACTTCTGGCGTATTTCGCCGAACATAACTGATTTGAAATTAGGGTATAAACGGAAACGATTGAATTTACATCACTTTATTTACATTCATATTACATTATTATATGCGTTGCGACGCATTTGTGTCATTTTCTAGGTCACAAATATTAGCGATTTACCTCCTTTAAAAGAGCATATCTGGTTATATCATACATTTATGAATAGGTATTAACTTCCATAACCTGCAAACATCATTACTCAGCTAATAATTAGAATAACCCAGACCGTATCTAATTATATCATACGTATATTTTTCAGCAATAGGTATTACCTTTCATAACATGAATACAACATTAAACTTGCAGAAAAATAACAAAATTTGTATTCATTTATTTGTTCTTGAAAACGATAAGAGAATATTTGTTTTTCATATAAATTGTGGAGTTTTTTTGTTGTGCTAATTCTCAATCACCTAATGCCATTCCAGAAACACCATAACTCAGTTTAAAAAAATAACCCTCTACGTTTCTAATTATATAATACCTATTTTTTATGAATAGGTTTTATTTGGTTGCTGTTGACATTCTTAGTATATAAAACTGTTTTCCTCAAAATCTATATTCGATTTTACATTGAATCCTTATTTAATGATCTACTGAAAGATTTTAAAATGTTTTTAATAGATATTTAATTTGAGTGGCATCTTAATACAAGTTTATTTGATTCCATAACTCTATTTTTCAATTTCATTATATTATTTTCTTTTTTAAGACATCATTATATTTTTAACATTTTAATTAATGATTTCTAAAAATTTTTTTAAATAGATATTTATCTTTGGATAACAGCCTAAATAAATTTTGCTTGATTGCATTTATTAATTCTGTTTGAAACTTATAAATAATCTTTTTGGTGGCAAGCTTCAGAAAGAAATAAGATCGTCCGATTAAGATCTTCTGAATAAGAAATGCGATACAAACAGAACACAAAGGATATATATTGATCGTAATAATATAATGAGAACAGTCAATAGTTATTTATAATAAAGGGGGGGATGGCCGAATAGTTAACGCGTGCGCGTTGTATCACAAGGTCTGTCATTGAGTCACCTGGCGTGGCAAGGAGTAGGGGGTCGCCTGTCCAACGTCGTGGGTTTTCTCCAGGTTCTCCGGTTTCCTTCCACTGCAAGCGAATTATTGAAATAGAATTGAATCATATGCTAGTCCCGAAATGACCTAGTTTGTGTCGAGTGGACGTTACCCCCCCTCTCTTTCTCTCTCTCTCTCTCTCGCTCTCTCTCTCTCTCTCTCTGTTTATAATAAAACAAGTTAGTCAAGATTCTTGAATATTAAAGTTAATGTCGAGCAGTCACTGTATCTTTACAAGAGAAATAAATAGGTGACTATGTCAATGTGTTATCAGAGATCCGCCCTATAGAATTAATATTGATGCCAATTAACACTGTTGGCGTGAAGAAAATGTGTTATTTATATACCGGTTCCGCCCGAAAAAATACTCACAAATCTGTAATCACTAAACATATTATAGTTATATCGCTCATACGCCGCATACGGTGTCTTTGCTGACACAGTTCGTTTTTATTTGATGTGAAAAATGGCTGCCTAAACAATTTACACACAACCGGCTTTTAGGTCGTGGATTGTTTTTGGTCAGAATTAATTACCGGACGCAACCATTTTGATGCCATTTCCACTGATTTTGATACTTGTCTAATACAATACAATATATAGCCAATCTGATTAAAACACAGATCCTATTTCCTTTCGTTTATTGTAGTTCAAAATTTTGTTTTACTTGTCTCCACAACGCTAGAATCTGGAAGAGTTGTTATATAACAGGCGTTCTAGTTGATGTGAGGAATTAGCTAATGAAACGGTCTGTTACGGCGAGTTCTTGGCGCGCTCTGCACGGAAATGTGGGTAAACCCCTAGAAACATCAACGCTGATTGATTAATCAATATCTGGCGTCATAGGGTCAAAAGCCTCTCATATCATCCCTGACACGACCCCCGGTAGAACTGCTTAGATCTTCATGTACTGTAGGCAATCAAAAGTATATATAAAAAAAACGAAATATATATCTGTATTTTAGTCAGATTGGAGTATAGGCTAGTAAGGATATGCATTGACAGCCATCTGATTATGCAGACACCGTAAAGATCGTTTTGAAACCCTAATATCTAGTAACGTTTCCGGATTGTGAGAAGGACTGCAGACGTTTGGTAGAGTAATCTGAGTTTTCGCTTGCGTTTTCCCAAAAATTCTGGCTTTGCTTCCTTTCTGAGAATCCACATCTTACGATGTTCGGAGCATTCTGCAACCCTGAATGTACGAAATTGAAAAAGAAAAACAAATATCAACTTGAATGCATACCACGTTGCTTTACCCACAACGAGAACGTAACAGTGAAGATTTAAATTAACGGAGTCTTGTTTCAATTAATGCCATGCTCGCTTTAATGTCGTTATACAGTACCAATTAGTAAGAGGAAGGGGTGGATACAGATAGTTTATAAATATATTCTATAGAAGATACAAACAGTATTCAATACCAAAATAACATGCTATAAATTAAGGCGTATACTGTACATTAAAGAGATACCCGATCTTTTATGTTTGTGAAATCGCTTTATTTATACATGATTAAATACTACAGATAACTGTGTTTCATATTTGTGCAGTATAATATGGACTCAGCCCAGTAATCCTTACCCCCCCCCCCCATTGACTTCCTTGGCCTATAACATGTTTTTTGAACATTCTGTGATATCCACGTACATAGGACCCAACATTTCACATGGTTAAATACTACAGATAACTGTGTTTTATATTTCTAAAATATATGGTCTCATCCCAGTAATCCTTACCCCCATTGACTTCCTAGGCCTTTAACATTTTTTTTTTTAACATTCTCTGATCTTAATTCGTATAACCACGTACATAGGACCCAACATCTCACATGGTTAAATATTATAGATAACTATAATTATAGTTTCATATTTCTAAAGTATATGGTCTCATCCCAGGAATCCTTACCCCCATTGACTTTCTTGGCCCATACCATTTTTTTCAACATTCTGCTGATCTTAATCCGTATAACCACGTACATAGGACCCAACATGTCACAATCGCCAGATAAACATATTGAAGATTGTTGACTATGTCGATTTCTTGCTTTGCCCAGCCAAAGAAATCTATATATATATTGGCTCTGGCGTCATTTATGCGTACGTGATTTCCCTAATTAATGCCTGCTTACTTCCTGACCCTACCACCACAAAATCATGATTTTTACGAAAACTTGGCAGAAAATGGAAATTCAAACTCTCTTTTTCAATTCTAGATCAAACACTGAACAAAGCTTGTCGTGCATATGGAGGGCAGAAAGAGAGATTTTCTTTTGGGGAGTGATTTTACAGTCTTAGTCCATATCCTGTAAGATTATATCTGATAATGTTAGTTTAGGTTATTATACAGTTGAAGTTATATCCGATGGTGTTATATTTCAGGTTATTATCGATATTAGGAGATTATACAGTTGACGTTATATCCGATGATGTTATATTTCAGGTTATTATCGATATTAGGAGATTATACAGTTGACGTTATATCCGATGATGTTATATTTCAGGTTATTATCGATATTAGAGATTATATAGTTGACGTTATATCCGATGATGTTATATTTCAGGTTATTATCTATATTAGAAGATTACACAGTCGACGTTATATTAGATAATGTTATATTTCAGGTTATTGTCGATATTAGGAGATTATACAGCTGACGTTATGTCCGATGATGTTATATTTCAGGTTATTAACGATATTAGAAGATTATACAGCTGACGTTATATCAGATAATGTTATTAATCTATCAACATCTAATATAGATATAAGAGCATTAGACATTGTACCAGATAAAATAGGAAATACCAGTATACGTTATGAACCTCAACTTGGAAACAAAACTACAGAGGTAAGACTATTTTTAATTATTTAAATATGTTAATAAATTTTCCCCGATATATTGCTGTCTCATTAGAGATGGCCCAGGTGGCGTTGGTTGGCCTACTCCTGGCGTTTTCTCTGGGTGCTCTCACCACTAATGCCCCCCCCCCTCGCTCTCTCTCGATTCTAGAGCCCCGTTTGCACTTGACCGCGATAAGCGTGCCTTTCTCGGCACATAACCAGACCGCGGTAAATTTTCAAGAAATTAACCAGTTTACATTACTCTAAAATAACCGGTCTCGGAACCGCGTCGGGCATGCCAATCACCCAGATGAAAATAATTATGGCGGTTGATTTAGTTCTGTCACCAGATCTGTCAAAGTTCTTGGGAAAAAGGTCATGGTTCATTTGGCGCATGCTCAGTAATCCGTACTGAGAACCGTTCTTAGACCGGATAGCGTTTACACTACGAAAATTTAACTGTGCTGTGCCTGGCACCGTGCCGAGGCCACCTCGCTTCAGTGGACCAAATTGACACCGTACTCAGTACGCCACTCCTCTGTTTGACCCGTTTACATAACAAAATAAATAACCGTGCCGTGTCTCGTGCCGTGTCTGGTACCGTGCCTGGCACGCTTAAAATTTGTAATGTAAACGGGGTAGGGCTCAAGTATAGGGGCTAATACTCATAAAGGAGGACATTTTGAATGTGTAAATAAAACTTTATTCAAATTGAGTAAGGAAGCTTGTACAATAAAGTTACTATCGATGATTTTCATGGATGTCCTCCCAAAAAGACCTCAGATTTTATTGATTTTGGCAGGAATAACCTTTTCTTTAAAGTTTTCATCCACGTTTATCTCGTTATATATATCATAATTACTTGCATTAACCAACTTAATTTCTGTTTGTTGAGGTACCGCCAAGATATTTGACTAACATGATATACCTGTAAACCGCAACGAGTACAGAAAAAAGTAGGGCGGTCGATGTAAAATGGAAACAAAATATTTAGTGAATACATATTGAAGTCACGAATGCGATATTTAGTTATAATACAGATGCTTACATGTAGTATTTTGTTTTCTAATTTAGAGTAAAGGCTTATTTTAAAGATACATTATGTAAGATTTAGATAAAAAGCTAGCCATTCTTGCTATAATAGTTCGAAAATAGATAATGTAAAATGAATAATTTGAAAATGTCATTCAAAGTACTCTATTGCGAGCGAAGATGTTAGCGTTTCAAGGTTTGACAAGATGTGTGCAAAAATGCAACAACCGTACTGGTTGTTCGAAGCTAAGTTTCGCTCCTGGCTGAATTGTTCTAATCTATTTAATTTCGGAGAAATCCGATGCCATCGAGGGTTGTTTATGGCCTGGATAAGTTAATTAATGTCTAATTAATAATTTAGATAACATTTCAGGCCTAAAGAAAGACCTGCAATAGGCAGATTTAGGTCTTGCTTAATGTATGTTTAAACTAAACAATACTTGCTTATTTTCTTCAAGTTTCCTAGTTGGTTATTTTAGATTAATATCGAGCAATCTACTAATTTACCCCTTTAAAAATACGTCTACCTTTCATCAATGGCTTGACAGATTTGTCTAATATTTTGCGTCTTATTGGAAATGAATTGAAATAAAATGGGGTTTAAAGTCCTATTGTTCTACTCCGATTGGGCTAATGACAACGGGCATGCTTCATAAAGTGTGTTATGAGTGAAAATTTGCACGGACAGCCGTGATACGACCTATTCTTAAAACGAATTCCAACTGCCAAGGATTCTTTTACCTGCACCCTAATATGTACAATGGACCTCGGTTTTTCGTTCCATCCGAATGACTATACGTTGTCCCTTACCATGCCCTTAGTCTTGCACCACTGACAAGCGGGAGACACGCCGGTAAATCTCGATGAATTTTTCTTTCTTGCGGTGGGATCGGGGGGGGGGGGGGGGTTAATGCGTGCGATGTTGATCGTAAAGTCTGTCAGGTGGCGTTGTTTCGATTTCCTGCTTGCCGCGTGACAAGGAGTACGTGTCCAACCTCGTGAGTATCCTCCGGAACCTCCGGTATCCTCGCACTGCTAAAGACCCCTGCTCTCTCTCCCTCCCCCTCTCTCTCCCCCCCTCTCTCTCTCCCTCTCCCCCTCTCTCTCTCTCTCTCTCTCTCATTCAACCAGTTGATGCCGAAATATAGGACGTTAAAACCTATTTCATATTTCATTTTACTTTTAACAGACTAGTGAGATGTGTGAGGTTGTTTTTACAGTAGAACGATTAGTGCAGCCATGTAAAACTTTTCTTTGATAAAATGACACAAGTAAATCATTAACGCTAGACCTATTAGATTTATATAAAACATTAGTGAGAGATTAAAGGTTGTTCATGTTTACAGTTCCCAGACCTTATGTCCATTGAGCAAGTTTTAAACCACCTGAGTCATTCAAGTCACCAGACGTGCGCCCTTTTTATGTTCATGAACCTACTAACATTTACAAAGTGAAAAATGTCAATATATTCCGATTTTTAAAAACTTAGTCACTAAAGATGAAGAGGATCTTATTTTTCAAATTACCTACGGTTTTTTTTTAAATCCATGTTCACCGTATCGCCCTATTTAGCTATAAGGAATGGCGAGTGCCATACACAAAGCGGGTCATGCTTTCTCTTCAAATTCACTGCGATATCACCTCTCTTTGGCGAAGTTATCAGTTTCATATATATCGGAGACATCAAATTTACAATACAACGGCTCACGGGTGCTATTAGCTAAATTGCAAAAGAACTAGATAAATTAGCTAGGGCGGGGAGAGAGGGTGGTGCAGGGGGGGGGGGGGGGGGGTGCGGGGGTAAACAGTACATTTTGATGAGGCTGCATTGACAAAATGTTGGGTATTTTTTGTCGAGACAGAAGAAGGATACAGTACACCTAAACATGCTTTTGTTTTTCCATGAAACACGGATTGTTGTAACGTATGCTGTTGTGTTTTTTGTGGTAGGGTGGTGCGGGGGGGGGGGGGGTAAACAGTACATTTTGATGAGGTTGCATTGACAAATTGTTGGGTATTTTTTGTTGAGACAGAAGAAGGATACAGTACACCTAAACATGCTTTTGTTTTCCCATGAAAACACGGATTGTTGTAACGTATGCTGTTGTGTTTTTTACTGTAGGGATGGGAGGAGGGGGTGAGGTGGGGAGTGGGGACACAATCAATGGCCACCCGGGCAGCACAAAGTTAAATTACACCACTGAATTAAACTACATTCAGTATAAATATATTAAGTTAATTTTCAGCGTTAGAGGCGGCGTTTTTCAAACAAACACCCTCTTTTCTAGACCTCATCATTGTAACTGTCCCACGTTGGCCTTTAGATGTAAAGTTTATGGCCATCCACCCAATTACATTTACAGTACATTATCTATGTTAGTATTGGTCGACTGATGATCCATCAGCCAAATCTTTGATAAAACAAACGAGAATGATCTTCTGTCGACATTTGGTATAAATACCCGTAAAACATCGCCTACTGACGAAAGGTGTACTATGTCTGGTTGAGCGGGGGTATTAAGAAAAACGGCTCTGATAAAAGAGAAGTTTGAGTGATAAATGAATTCCGTTTATAAAGGTGAAATAGTGTTAAATGAGCAATTATAACAGCATGTATGTTTAATGCTGTAACAGACTACCTTTACAATTAACTTCTTTTTTTTCTGCGTGACATATCTCGGGCAGTTTAGAAATATTAGTTTAATTGAAAAGAACTGTCCATATGCCTACGGTACTAGTTGAATCTGGGAGGGACACACACAGAATCGAGGTTGTAATAATATGTATATTGTCACTCATAATATAATGAGTTACTCGGGTGGTATATTATTACTCATTGTTTAATGAGTTACTCGGGTGGTATATTATTACTCATTGTTTAATGAGTTACTTGAGTGGTAATTAATCTGTTAACGTGACCTCGGATCAACATCTGATTGCAAGACTTGCATGTTCCATTAACAAACACTAAACTTATATGAGTTGTTAATGAGTTTACCAAGCTTGAAGAAGCATAACAGAGGGTGTTCGAATTCTCTGTTTTGTCCGAATAACACCAGGCTATAGTGATTTAGCACAATATCCCAAATTCGACATCCACAGTCTTTTCGAAGGATACCCTCTCTGGTTTATACGCCCGAAATGACATAGTTTGTGTTGAGTGGAAGTTAACCCACATCTCTCTTTCTTATACGCCTCTGGCTATGCTAATATAGAAAGTTTAAGTTTTAATATATTTAACATTATAACTCGATAACGAGTGGATGTTAAACTCTCTCTCTCTCTCTCTCTCTCTCTCTCTCTCTCTCTCTCTCTCTTTTATACGCCTCTAACTATGCTAATGTAAAAATGTTAAGTTTTAATATATTAAATTTGTAAAGTTGATAACTCAATAACATAATGAATGTTTTAATAAGATAGAATAAAACATAATTATATTACATTAACGTAAAACACGTGTGAGACAAATGTTATCGTTCATATTCTTTTACTTTGGTAAGAAAAACAGTTCAGTAAAGTTTATAATTATTTTTTTTAATTACAAAACTTACAGAAAAAATCTATCTCCTTAATTTATATATTACTTTATAAAATCTAATTATGCATGTATAATGAAAATATCGTACGTAAAAAACTTACGTCATATATAAACTATACGACCAGAAAAACTATCAAAATTCATTTTTAATTTGGATACTTGAGTTGAAACGATCGCAAATTGCCATTTAAAAAAAAAAAATTCAATATACCCGACACCTCTTTCGGTTTGAATTTCCATATATGTTTTTGAAACGTGGTTTTTATGCAATAGTCTCTCGAAATCTTGGAATTTCTTTCCTGTGTTAGTATATATCATAAGTGGCGTTATTGGTCGTTAATATAGATCTTATTGGACGTTAACATAGATATTATTGGTCGTTAATACAGATCGTATTGGACGTTAGTATAGATCTTATTGGACGTTAATATATATCTTATTGGACGTTAATATAGATCTTATTGGGCGTTAATATATATCTTATTGGGCGTTTAATATAGATCTTATTGGGCGTTAATAAAGATCTCATTGGACGTTAATATAGATCGTATTGGTCGTTAATAAAGATCTTATCGGACGTTAATATATATCTTATTGGGCGTTTTATATAGATCTTATTGGTCGTTAATATAGATCGTATCGGACAATAGTGTAGATCTTATTGGACATTAATATAGATCTTATTGGACGTTAATATAGATCTTATTGGGGGTTTAATATATATCTTATTTGGCGTTAATATATATCTTATTGGGCGTTAATATAGATCGTATTGGGCGTTAATATAGATCGTATTGGGCGTTAATATAGATCGTATTGGACGTTAATATAGATCTTACTGGACGTTAATACACATCCGTTTGGACGTTAATACACATCCGTTTGGACGTTAATATACATCCGTTTGGACGTTAACATGAATGATGTTGGGTGTTAGTATAAATCTGTTTGTACGTTAGTATAAATCTGTTTGTACGTTAGTATAAATCCTGGAAGTCTATTGTTGTTCACTCTAAATTTTTATTTCAGGTGATAATTATCGTTGAAGAATAAAACAAATGTGGAACTTATTTAATATTAATATGAAAATTTATTTTCGTGTTATTCTTTTTCAGAGGGGATTTTCTATATCCCTACCACCAGAAATATTTCAAAAGGGAGATCGTCAAATTGTAAGACTACAGTTCCTTGGTTTCCAGAAATCAACATTTTTCGTTCCAAAAGAAGAAAATGAATTGATTATGGATAACGCGTCGAGTCAGAGAGTAGTTACTGCCACTGTTAAAGGGAGAAAACTCCAAAATCTAAAACAGATGGTCTCTTTCAAAATGCCCAGCATTAAAGTAAGTACCGATGTTAAAGAACTGTAGCAAATAAATGATTACTTGAATCAAACAAATTATCCTATTGATAAAACGAAATGCTATTCCCCAAGCACTGCTCCTCTTGTATTCTTCTTTCTGGCAAGGACGATCGACATGAAACTGGACATACGTGTTCTTTAAACAATTGCTCATCGTTTAATGGTATTCGACTTTTGATATGACGTCAGAATTACAAGATGACGGGCATGGCGCCGTGCTCGACTCCGGGTCCATATAATACTTGTTTTGATAGATTTTCATATTAATTAAATGGATTTTATATTAAAAGAATTCTTCATCAGCTGAGGTAAAATATCTTATTTGTATTTCAGGCCAATGCTAACCACACGTGTGTTTATTGGGACACCGTTAGTAAGTAGTAGCTTATTTGTTTGTTTTCGCCTGTGTCCGTTGGAACGTCATCAATCGGTCTGACTGACATCCTTTATTACAATTATAACAATACTGCCGTAAATGAACATGACCTGGGATGGAAGTTCAGAGTAGTCTTATTCCAAATATATTGAGTTTTAATACGTTATGAAATAATTGGATTCCCTGGCAACCTTTCATCTTTGTATATGTTCCCTACATATATTTAATTTTAGATAGATTTTGTTGCAAAAGATCTAACATTGTGCCTTTCTAAATCCTTTAGAGGTTCAGTGCAAATATTTCTTTAAAATTTTGCTAGTGAAAGTAAAAATGACTCCCCATCGTCGAATATGGTACAACTCTTAATACTCTCTGTTTCGTCTATTTAAAGATAAAACTTGGTCATCAGAAGGAGTTATCACAGGGACCAGTGGTAATATGACAGAATGCTGGAGTTCACATTTAACAAGTTTTGCCATTTTATTGGTAAGTAGCGCCATTGTCTGGGCAAAATTTCTGTCTCTTGTAGTACAATGCACTTGCCCGTCCATACCACACATAACTGGGCGGCCAAAGAATACCATCAACAAATACTTTTGCAAAAATAGAGCTATATAAAATTGTAGTGAAGCTGGAAGAACACAATGAAAGCGCTTCTTGAATCTGAACAAAAAAGAACCATACTATACGAGTAAATTATGATCCCTTTAGGGAGTCACGGTGGCTCAGTGAAGAAGACGTTGGCTCGCTAACCAGGAGATCCGGTGTTCGATCCCGGTGTTAACCGAGAAAGCCCATCTGGATTTCCGGTCCCGGTGTTGGCCGAGAAAGTTGATAGGGATTTTCCGGCGTGGTTCTCCCTATCAGTGGTGCGGAACAGAGGGCCTGGCAATGAGCAACGTATAGTCGTTCGAATGGGACAGAACCCCAAGGTCCCGTTTACACATTGTCATGCACATAAAAGAACCCTTGGCAGTTAGAATTCGATATAAGAGTAGGCCGTAGCCCCGCTGTCCAGGCAAAATCTCCCTCATAGCACACTGCATGGCGTATTCCCGCCTTCATTATCCAAGTTGGACGTTTAACCTCATTTCATTTCATTTTCATACATGTCATGCTGTTTAATGTTTTGCAGGATCCGAGTCCAGAACATGCATTACCTGTTATACATGAAGAGATCCTGACGTATATAACATATATAGGATGTGCTATATCTATGGTGGGACTTATATTAACGATTCTGACATACACGCTCTTTAAGTAAGTAATCTATATAAATGAAACCAAAGTGTGTATGTGTATATGTATGTTCGCCCATCACGCTTCGTCATCGCGCTCTATCCCCACATATGTGGTATCAAATTAACTAGCATGACCCCGTGAATTTGGGCACCGGGCGAACTGGGCATGGGCGACGGGTGAATAACACTTCGTCGCCGCTTTTCACTCCCACATAATATGTGTTATCAAATTAATCAGCATGGTCCGTGAATGTTTTAGACCACCGAATTTAGGACCCTGGCGATTCTGCCCCAATGAATTAGGCCCCGGACGACTTTTTGCACCCGGCGGGGCCGGGTATCATGCTAGTTATTAAAATATTCTCTCTCTCTTTTCTCTCTCGCATATGGTACTATGGTTATCCACCATTATACTTCATATCATTATAAACAATGATGCGTCAATGATTTTAAGAAGTGTCTGGGTTTGGAGATGCAATACATTATATTACTTCCACTAAAGTCATATCGTGGATAAAGTTTGTTAGGACTTAATATAATAAAAATTTGAATTTTGTAATTTTTTCTTTACGTAACAGGTGTCTACACGGCGAGAAGTCTGGTAAAATATTACTCAATCTCTGTGTGGCCATGTTGTTGATGAATCTCGCATTCCTGTTCGGATCTCAAAGCTCTACGACTTATGGGGACGACATATGTACTGCTGTAGCTGTTATGTTACACCTCTTTCTATTGGCTACTTTAATGTGGATGTTGGTCGAGGCTGTTGAAATGTACCAAGCCTTGGTTACCGTGTTTAATAAATATGCTAGATTCTATATGATGAAACGATGTGTGGTTGGCTGGGGTAAGTACTTTTATAATCCTTAATGGCTGCCAACTTGAAAGTTTCAAATCAACATATTGTGGCATACGGAAATGATCGCTAGATTCGTTTGACAGAGTTACGTAACTCTTAAGAAATTTACTTCTTCAGTAGAATCAGGCTAACAACTATAAAGGCAATACGATCTATGTTCTACCGAGGAGCTCATTAATTTGCCTATGCATTTTATTACGTATTTTGTTGACATTTATTGTGAGGTGGGATTGTGGATTGGCCCCCCCCCCTTCCTCACCCATTCACAGCTTCTAGATCCGCTAGAGTGGAATGAGCGACTTGATAATCGTGATGATCATTTACCACTATAACTTTGGTTAAAACATAGCTTGGAATTTGCGGCCTTCTAAATTGTGAACGCCACGTGAAAACTGAATGTAACTTCTTCGAAAAAGTATCACATAGTTTCAAATAGTTACACAGGGCCAGTCTAAAGGATAACACTCCAAATTAACCAGTTTAATTTATTGAAATATATCTCGAATTTCCCCATTAACATTTTTCGAACTGATCGTTTCTAAATGATTTATCTCCCTTTGTTGTATTTCAGGTGTACCATTGTTGATCGTCATAATAACATTAAGCATAGACACTGGTCATTATAAACCATCCGCTGATTTGTAAGTTCACTACATTTTATTCTATAAAAGTACAATAAAATGTGTTGACTATCTGAGAAGTCGTATCAAGTCAATATCCGTTCACGACATACGAATCATGGCGCATGGTGGATAGTTTTAGACGATTTGAGAAACCAAACATTCCGGGTCAAGACGAAACCGTGTAGTCAAATGCCTATAGGCTATATAGGATATGATTGAGAAATGGAATGGGGTTTAGCGTCCCACTGTTTTGCTCCGACTGGATATAATTGAGGGGACATGGTGGTTCAATGAGTAAGACGATGTCTCAATATTATAACCAGGAGGTCCTGGGTTCGATCCCGATATTGGCCGTGAAAGAGCCTCAGGATTTTCCAGTTTGGGTTCCTCTTGTCAGTGGTGTAGGATGGAGGGCGGATACCGAGGACCCGTGACCACGTTAGCGTGCACGTAAAATAACCACTGACAGCTGCAATTAGATTGAGAGTATACGGAACACCGCTGGCAAAATTTCCCTCAAAGATCATACCCTTCTTTATTATACCGATTGGTGCAGAAAATTAGGATGTTAAACTCTATTTAATGTAAAGCTGTTATATTATATTCCGGGAGTCACGGTGGCTAAGTGGGTAAGACGCTGGCTCGCTAGCCTGGGGGTCGCGTGTTACCTCTCTGCATTAGCCGTGGAAGTTCATCGGATTTTCCGTCGTGGTTTCTAGTCGTTCAAATGTGACGAAAAACCGAGGTCTCGTGTATACATTGGCTTGCACATAAAAGATCCCCTGGCAGTTGGAATTCGATATAAGAGTAGGCGATAGTGCCCCCACCCGGGCAAAATTTCACTCATAGCACACTGTATGGCGTATGCCCGTCTTCATTAGCCCAGTATAGGAGCAGAACAATAGGACGTTAAACCCCATTTCATATCATGTGGTACTGAAATGTAGCCTACTATTACATATTTAATTTTTTTTTCTACTTTCAGTTGCTTCATATCTCAAGCTAGTCCCATAGCATACTATGCGTCTCTGGTAGGACCAGCCTGTGTCATATTGATAGTCAATACCCTGGTGTTTATATTGGTTGCTAGAGTCATTCTCAAACCGAGGTTTCAGCAACAGGAACGAGGCACCCACACCGTCACGCCGGCACAAATCCGTGGAGCCTTCACCGTCATGATTCTTCTCGGAATAACATGGGTGTTCGGTCCATTGGCCATACATGGTGCCAAGCTAGTGTTCAATTATCTGTTCTGTATCCTGAATTCTCTCCAGGGCTTTTTAATCTTTGTGTTTCGCTGTTTGTTCAATCCCGAGGCTCGACTTGCCTGGATACAGCTCATCAAAACGGGAACCCTTAAGCGACGTCGTGGTCCCGTCAAGTCCGTCTACTCCGAATCTTCGTCGAAAGTAGAGAGTAAGTCCCGATCAAACGGTCATTTAAATGGCCATTCTAAAAGTAACATAATACAAGCCAATGGCTGGCAAGGTAACAAACTGAACAATGACTGTGATGACAGTCCCTATCTTAACGGACATAATAGACGTAGTACTAAGTGTTTAAATATGGATTTTAATATGGAGAATAATATGCTCAGTGCTAAAGACAGTGTTAACACAGAGGAGGAATATATACCCGATAAGGAAATGACACAGAGGGATGAAGATAACACCCATCTGTAAGCTAGGCTTATATTAAATCTGCCTATAATCTAAATTTAAGACAATAAAACTATGTTTAAGGAGCTTGCCAAAAAGGATCCACAGAATTTTGAAACTCCTGGTGTAGGCCTGTAAAAACGTATCCGGTTTTCCAAAGAGTCAGCCGAATTTTGAAATTCTTGGGCACAGGCCTAGAAAAAGTACTCGTGTTTCCAATGTTAAAATGAGTTTTAAGACATTAAAAATGCTGTAAAGTAGCTTGCCAAAAAAATGTCTGCCGAATTTTATAACTTCTACTAAGCCTATCCAGTTTTCCAAAGTTAAAGTGAAAGGAAGTAATGAATTATGCTATGTGAAGACAACCAGGATTATGCCAGATATTCGATTGAATTAAGTTATAATAATCATTTATTTTATCAAGAATGTCTCTTCAAATATACCTTTTGAGATATTACTTTTCAAATTAAACCCGCTGTCCATGTAGTCGCTTTAATGCAAATGTAATGTGACCGTTTCAATGTAATCGGAGAAAAGGCGCACATGGAAAACGGTCCTTAGAAAACGGTCTCGAACATCAATTAACACAGAGTTCTTGGCAATCTAAATTTAATAGCGAAACACATGTTTTAGTTGCATAATATCAAAATATCTTCAAAACAATCTCATATTGCTCCAAATGTATGACGCCTACGTTTGTATATTATGTGTTCTTGTTGCCATGGTGTTCATATTCTACGATGTTTATAATATGTTTGTGAAATCCATATGTTAATTATATTTTGAATTATGGTATTTTTTTTATCATTAATCAGTTTTTCTCATCATTTAATTTATTGTCTGTATATGTTTGTATGTTCTAGTCATATCTGAGTTTTACAATTTATCAACATGTTGTACATTTAGCATACAGATTGTTGTACAATACCTTCTTAAAGATACATTATGGGAGATTCGATAACGAGTTCTCATTATAATAGTTAAAAACTAAATAATGTAAAGGCAATTTGCTGAAAATTTCATTTAAATTGATTCACTGTGAACCGAGAACTAAGCGATTCAAATTTCCGCCTAGCCTCGATCATCATTACTAAAGTCAGTACGATAAACAGCATAGTCTCGATTATCCATTTAATCATTAAATCGTGAAGGAAAGTAAGGCAATAAATCGGCTCACAATCCGCAGGCTAGCGATGCCATCTAGAGATGATTATGGTCTTGATAAGTTAATTAATGTCTAATTAATAATTTAGATAACAGATTTAGCTCTTGCTACTATTCAAATGAATAGTAGCTAAAAACTTCAGTTGTATTTTAATTAACCATATATTGCATTTTCCAGATATGTATTTATACAAATTTTTTATGGGGAACATTTGTTCCAATCTTCCAAAGATATGGCTGCAGTAATTGAGAGAAGCATTTATATAAGGTCACTAATGAAGGGGCGATAATTCTAATTACGAGTAGTTATTTTGTGTTCAGACCACATCAGATTAGGCAAAACTAATATCGTGGAATTATTATTTTTGTGCATAAGTTAATAATAGTTTACTTTAAATAACAGCATCTACAAATTTAGATACTGAAAGGGGTGGAGGCGATTGGTTGGATTATAATATTAAAACTTAATGAAAAGGGGATTAACGTCCTAAATTCCTGCCCCATCTGGGCTGATAAAGATGGACAGTGAGCTATGTTGAATGGGCAGCGTCGTTTCCGCCAAGTCTTATTGAATTCCAGTTGTCCATGATTCTTTTACATACAAGCTCACGGGTACATCGGTGGAACTCATGGTTTCATTCCATCCGAATGAATAAACGGCATTTCCTCGCCAGGCTCCCATTCCCACACTAGTGACAAGAGTAAACCCGACCGGAAAATCGTTCTAGGCCAACATCGGGATCGGGACCCGCTTGTTAGTGAGGCAGCGTCATACTCATTGAACAACAATGGCTCCATTTTACATTAAGATGTTCATAATATATATGTTATATAATGTTTTATTATACTGTAAAGCTATAGAAATGAAATGAAATGGGGTTTAACGTCTTACTGTTCTGCTCCGACTGGGCTAATGAAGACAGGCATACGCCATACAGTGTGCTATCAGGAAAATTTGGCCCGGACAGCGGCACTACGACCTACTCTTATTTCAAATTCCAACTGTCACGGGATATTTTGAGTGCACACGAGACCTCGGTTTTTCATCCCATCCGAACCACTATAACTTGTCCCTTGTCAGGCTCTCTGTCCTGCACCACTGACTAGGGGGGATCAAGTGAACTATCTCGGTCAGGAAACAAACACGGGACCTCCATGTTAGCGAGCCAACGTCTTACTCACTGACACACCGCGGCGCCGTTCTTACGGTAAACGTATATAGATCCATAACACTGTCATAATGTCTATATTTTATCATCTTATTATAGTTGTTGTTTTAATACTACGTCAAGAATTGTTGAAATGATTTATTGTCAATTTACATTTGTTTCTTCGTGAATATTCTTTGTTTCTTTATTTGTACATAATCTACAAACATAAATATATGTAAATAAACGATGTTTGTGCAACGAAGACCGCATTGATTTGTAATATAGATACTGAATCTATAAACCTCTCCAGGGGGCGGATCTAGGATCCTCAGCATTCCATGCAGAAATATCAGATCTCCATATTAACGTGGTGTAGTGACAATACGCGGGGTCTGGATGGATTTCTGCCGAAAATTTGAAAAAATTTGGAACGCTTTAGAAGCCATTCCCGACTGGACCCGCGCCTGCTGCCAGACCACCCTGTTGAATAAAACATTGAAGTAAGCCTGAATTTGTCATGTTTTTCGAGAATCGGGCGAAATTTCAGGAATATATAGAATCTTAACGATACATTAAGGGAGATTAGATAAAGAGCTGGTAGTTCTCACTATAATAGTTAAAAACCAGATAATGTAAAGGGGATTTGATGAAAATTTTAGTCAAATTGATCAACCCTGAACCGAGTATTTAGCGATTGAATTTTGTACCTAGCCTCGATCATCATTACTAAGTCGGTACGATAAAACACATAGTCTCGATTATCTATTTTTTGATTTAATCAGAAACAGCAAACTAGCGATGCCATCGAGAGTTGATTATGGTCTGGATAAGTTAATTAATGCCTAATTAATAATTAAGATAACATTTCAGGCCTAAAGAAAGGCCTGCAATGCCAATTGGCAGATTTAGCTCTTCCATAATGTATGTTTAATGGATACAGTTCGATGAAAGTAAATTATTCACTAACATTTTCCCTTATATCTAACAAATATCTCATATTTTTGATGCAAATTATAATTTTGGAACAACTTTTATTGGCCATCTGTACGAATACAAACTTTACCAGTCATGACTTTTATAGGGAACTTTAATGTCTGCGACACTCATGGTCCAAGTTAATTTGACCAGCGAACACTTTAGCTTCTGGTTGGAAGATAACATCGAGCTTCATTACAAGAAGACAAAAACGAATAAAACAATTCTTTGGAGAACTAACTAGTGACCAACGAATTCAGGACCTAGAAAGGGAGTGCGTGTATTTTATACAATTGTTGATACTACAATATCACAATTAAAATAAGATTTGATGGACAAAAGATGGTAATTGATCTGTTTAATGTTTTATATCCTGCGAATCTCTTGAAGCTTTCAGACGAAGAATTAGGCATGTGCTCATCTAAAATGTCTATTGTAACCGCTATTGTCAAGTCTCTCTTATATTATGCGGGATTAGTAGAATCAACAATAATATTATAAGAACTATATTCAAGAATCATATATCCATGTGTTGTGTGATATTCGTATAATGTCACCCAGTTGCAGCATTCAATTATACCTGCGTCAGCTAAAATAAACCGGAAGAGGGGCGGGGGGTGCAGGCATACAAACAGGCACCTGGTGAAATTTTATTTTTATTTCCATTGCGCGTATGAGTCTTTAGCGGTGTGTGTGTGTGTGTGGGGGGGGGGGGGGGTGTCCAGGAGAATACCCACGAGGTTGGACACGCGGACCTACTTCTTCTCAAATATTGTACAAGCTTAATTGTGATCGAAACAATGCCACTTGACTCAATGACAGACCTTATTATCTAAAGTGGACGCACTAGACCACTCGACCACCCGATTCCCTGAAGGTTCGTAGACTACAAGTGTACCATAATCCGGTAAGACAGAAGGGAATGAATGAATGAATGAATGAATACTCGCTCGGCATACAAAAATTCTCTCACAAACAAAATACACTTTGACTTTCAATTTACTCGACCAAACAACAGCATTCTATGGATTTATAACTTAAAACCTTTCTAAACAGAGGAAACGTCATACAAACATGTATCAAATGTCTGTGTGACGCTGTATTTAACTGGAGATCTAAGTCAGATTACGATTACAATCTTTGCATTGCAGGCAAGGAAACATAAACTAATTTAAACACGGAGAACAATTATTTTCTATGAGGCACATCCAACCCTTACATTTTTTTGCAGTGTATTAAATGTTAGAGATGCATCTCTTTAATGTGAACTTACAAATAAATACAAATAGTGTCTTTTTTATGTTGATAGATTTTTTTTATTCTTAAGCACAAATAAATACCAGTAATATCATTTTTTTTATTCTTAAGCACATATAAATCCTGCCATAAAAACACACATAAAAAAATAATAGAATTTTATTCCATTCCAACGCAAGATGGTGTATGTGAACCTGAAATTTACTTTAATTTATGGGGGGTTTTTATGGACGAATAGAAAATGATGGTTTAATGTGTCTGAAAATCTAAAAGCGGACCTGATTCGTATATACTACTCCTTTTGCACAGTTGCTCAAACTGGTTTGATGTGTGGCTAAATTTTCATTGGACATTATTAAACCTCTAAAGCTTCATAGGCCGAATGCTAGCCTAAGCACGCCCTTTACCAACAGTGCTAACAGTATTTTTTTTTCTCCAATCACGGGTGCCAAAAGATTTTTTACGATTCACATTTGCTATACCTTACCGTGTGTAATCTTTAGATTTTTATATGAATAACGATTCCTTTCTGTGTCCACTCCCTCTCCCAGATCTATTTCTACTGATGAGCAAAGCTTTCCTTCATAACGAATGCTACTATTACATACAGCATAGAAGACCGCATGTATCCTTGACGAACCCCGTCCCAGATTTTAAAACTCTCCAAATACCATAGAAATAAATACAGATACCATGTGTTAGTCTAAAAATAATCGATGGGATGTTCAAATCTCATTCCTACTGATGGCCAGAAATTTGCGTTATAACGTCTGTAACTAAATTTAAAAATGTTCCAGATAAAACGGAGCCACGGTTGCTAAGTGAGTATATCGTTGGCTCGCTAACCTGAAGGTCCCGTGTCCGATCCCTACATTGGCCAAAACAGTTCAGTGGTGCTTGACAGAGGGTCTGACAAGGGTCAACGTATAGTCTTTCGAATGTGACGAAAGATCGAGGTTCCGTGCACACATTTGCGTACACGTGAAAGATCCCTTGGCAGATGGAATTCAATATATGAGTAGGGCGTGAGAGGGCAAACTTCGCTCACAGCACACTGTATGGCGTATATCCGTCTTCATTAGTCCATTCAGAGCAGATCAGTTGGGGGTTAAACCCCATTTCATTTCATTCATTTCCATATAAAACATACAAATAAGATAAAGATACCATATTATTCGTGACTTCCTACGGGTGATCACAGGTTTTCTTGAAAACGACTGTTGCTATTACGTACATCATAGGAGACAACGTGTATCCCTGGCGAGCCCCGTGCTAGACTTTAAAACTCTCCATATAGTATAAAAACAAAATAACGATTCCATATGTTAATCTAATGATCGAGGGGATGTTAAACCTTATTCATTTCTTTTTATAATCATTTGGTAAGCATTTTAAAAATGGATTATTGTGATTTTTTAAATACATAAATACGTCGTTCATCTCCACAATACCATGTCCGTCGGTATAACTTGTCCAATACTTTTTTCAACCAAGCTTTAATAGGATTAACAATTTTTAGAAATTTTCGCAGTGGATGTATAAACATTTCGACCTGTCTACACCCAACTATAAGAATTACCTTATTGACTTTGCAGAATATGGAAACACAGAACTAAAATAACCTTTCACTTTATCCTTATTGGTGAAAATAACCCTTACGGACACAAATCCCTGTTTAAGTCGCAGATATCTACTTATGATAGATATTTTAAGACAGTGTTTTTACTTTTTATTATTTATTTTATTCCATACGTGGAATTACGCCTCCGTTTCCTTTACAAATATAGAAGAAAGGAATATGTCAAAAAAATAAATATGTCATAAAATAAAGACATACACTAATTTTCTGTACAATGTAGTATGTAAATATTATTTTTATTTACAAGAGGGCTATTTTTGCTTGGTTTCTAATTTTGGTGATAAATTAAAAGATGATGGTCTGTGTTTGTTTGTGGGGAATTTTGAAATAACTTCACGGCACACGGTAAATCCGGGTCAAGCGACAAGAATCAGGTGGTTGGGAGGATGTTTAATTAGCCAAGTTGGTGTTTGATTCTGGGACAAATTCTCCGACTTGCTAACAGTCAAGATGTATAAAATTAAACAGGTAGTGTATATTACTGATTCTTGCCATCCTTACTTATTGTAAATTTTCTCCATGGAAATAGAGTCTAGTTTAAGTATAATTCGATTGTATACATTGATCAAGGGAAAAAGTTGGAAAAGTTTCTATAGTAATTAATGAAGGAAATGTAAAATTTGTCCATGCAAGTAGAGTTAAATGTTAGTATATCTCGATTTTATGACATACGCAAGGGAAAATGTTCAAAAGTTTGTTTAATTAATGTATCAAGGGAATTTATCAATCTTGACCAATCAATTTTCATCCATGCAACTGACTCAAGTTTAAGCATTCAGTGATCAACGGAGAAAAAGTTGCCTAATTAATGTATCAAGGAAACAAAACTCGGCTAGTTTTATATTATCGTGGTTTCATAAAAAGATTGTTACGATCATTTGATTAATCAATCAAGTTTTCTCAACTCAAGTATAGACTTTAGTTTAGTACCTCGATTCGAGAAATGGTGAAAAGATTGTTAATTAATTTATCAAATAAATGAAACTCAGTTAGTTTACAGGAATTCTTCATTAAAAATAGCTTGATTAATCAATATGTGGATGAAAGGATATTCTAAAAAAGAGTGGGGTTTTTAATTGTGTGAAAGACTGTTTAGTTCAGGAGATCCTTTATCTACTAGTATAATGTTCTCCTTCCATATTCATCTTTAAGATTTTAACCGTGTTCCTGGTGCTTGTTTTAACAGCCGTTTCTGCTCAAAATGGACAAGAAAAGGAACTGGATGGTAGGTCAAACAGAGTTTTCTTTTGTCGTATAAATGCGATTTTTCAAAAAGTATAACGTTTGAAATTAAATTGGGAATTATATAAAGTATTATACACAAATTATCACTGACAATAGTCATACAAGAATTAAACATGTTTAAATTTAAATTTAAAAAGTACATTTACTGTTTTATAAAAATTATTTTACATATTTTTAAACAAAATAGAGATGCGTGCATATAAGAATTAAACATGCTTAATTTTACATGAAAAAAATTATATAATTATGCATTTAATGTTTTATATGAATTAAACATGTTTTATTTTACCTATAAAAAATTAGATATAGATGCAAATTTACTGCTTTTCTTTAACATTAATACCTAATGTAATAAAAATGGGAGAAATTTTAAATGTATATGAACCATTACAATGTTGTGACTTTAATGTCAATAATTTCAATTACATGTGTCGATTATTTAGAATGTAGTCGGGGTTTAAGAAGAGCGCACCCAACACAAGAAAATGGCTACCAAATATTCGTTAGATCAGGTGGACATTCACAGTGGTTAGACAGACAATGTTCACAATATCAAATATATGAACAGCGTGTTTGTGGGTGTTTAGAACCGGACAATTCACCAATAGAATTACCACAACCAAGGCAAGATAACAGTTTCCAGGCTGAGAATGGTAACCAGGAAGTTGCCGTTATCCCGGACGCCGATGGCAACTGTGCGTTCCACAGAAACAGTAACTATGATCCATCTAAATACGAACGATTTAGTGAAAACGGTTGGGTGGAGGAAGATTGTAACTGGCCATTTTATACCGGTTTAATCTGGGATCAGGAAAATTGCCGATGTGAATGGGGACCAAATCCATCTTTCCCTAAGCTTGTGGATAATGATGTTGGTAAGTTAAACTTTCAGATTTACTAAGGTTTGATAAATGATTCATCAAGAAAGGTCTTACCCTAAATATAAAATGATATCCAACAGACTCTTTTATTATTATTTATCATTATTATTATTCCGCATTTATACAACGCCACTTTAAAGCAGTACCGAACATAAACCTGCTTTGGGGAGGACAAGGGGGTTGGATGGCTGAATGGTTAGCACGTGTGCGCTGTATCATAAAGTCTGTCATTGACTCACATGGCGGGGTTTCGATTCTCCGGTTGTACGTGACAAGGGGGGTAGGTCGCCTGTCCAACCTCGTGGGTTTTCTCCGGGTCCTCCGGTTTCCTCTCACTGCTAAAGACCCCTACGCGCAAGCGAATTATATTAGTCCCGAAATGGCCTAGTTTGTGTCGAGTGGACCTTAAACCCCATCTCTCCCCCCCTCTCTCTCTCTCTCTCTCTCTCTCTGGGGAGGACAAAATCTGGGCAAATTAAAGATTATTTGAGGTAGAAGCATGTTTCTGATTAAATAGCCGCGTTTTCGATTTTTCGACCAGGTATTCGTCGCTACACCATGAACTGGTCGCTAACCGCTACTCATCTTGTTCTTGTTTTTCTTCTTGGGGTGACGCTCTTCGAAAAAGCCAAGGCTCCGTCAATACAAGTCCGATCCGTAAAAATTGTCATGCTTGTTTTTTTTAACAATTCTGTATCGAATTGGTGAATTAGATTTTTGAATTTCATCCAACAACATGGTCAGTTCCTGGTCCATGATACGATCGTACTTGTTTAACTACAAGTGCATGTAGGATGAATTAACATTTTACAACAGAAACACAACAGAAATGTGTTAGGCATGTGAACAGCTCAAGCGAGAAGAATAAATATATTATATCGAAAACATCTTCATCTGAACATCGTTTGAATATTCAGCATTTGTATGTTTAAAGATTCTCTAGAACTTAAATATAAAATGCATCACTACTACTAGTTAGTAGACGAGGGTTAACTTCCGCCTCCATCAAGAGTGATATCACAAATTCATTGACTGGAAAAGGTTATATTTCTTTTTTCTCTTTTTTTTCTGAAAAAAGTGTATACGTTTGCTTTGAAATGGGCTAAAGTTAACATAATTGTTTGAAGAATAAACGCTTTCATTGACATAAAGTGCCCCGTAGTCTTTGATGCAAACCGCTGATTGTGCCTTAATGGGCTGCTAAAACACGTTCTTTCATATTTGTTTACTATTGTTTTTGAACTCGGTTCTCTGTTCAACTTCAGTCAATAATTTACTGTTATTCTTGCCTTGAAACCCGTGTGTTAGTTTAAAACGAACAATAATGAAATTGTTCATATGCCTCGTAATCTCGACCGTAAATTTGCTTTTCTCAATCAAACAGTTTTAGATTTTGGTTAAAAAGATTTCGATTTTGTTAGATTAAGTAACAATGGGTGGGTAAGGTTCGCCTTACTAGGTACAACTCAGTAGATGCTATATAACCAAGAGCGGTTCAAAAGTCTAGAAAAAAGAAAATTTGGAATCAATTTCACCTAAATTGTATCTCAGATACTTACGAGTATATATCATACTCACAGATAGCTTGGAATTACCAAGTATGTTCAAAGACGAAACTTTGGTCGAATTTGACGTGTTTTGTTTTGACTTTTCTTGACAAAATCCTAAAAATAAATACCTACAACACAGACTACATACACATTATAGGTGAAAAACCTCGACATAGAAGCACCAACTTCTGAAAGTCATGCTTAAACTATTGTTTTATAGAGTTCGAAGTAGTGAATTACGAGTCAACGTTTTATATTCCTTCAGGAACGAGGAGAGTTTGATGGCCAACTGGTCTAACATGTGTGCTTTACATCACAATATCTATAATTGAGCCATGTGACGTGGTGTCAGTCCAACTCTGTGGGGTTTCTCTAGTCTCCCGGTTTCCTTTCACTGCTAAAGACCCCTACGCCCAATCGAATTCTTTAAATAAAATTGAACCCTATGTTAGTCCCAATATGAACTTGATTGTGTTGAGTGAACGCTAAACCTCATTTCTCTCTTATCTCCTAGAACGCCTGGTGACATCTTCTAAAGTTCTCCGAGTCCATACTCTTCTGGGTTTACATTAATATGTCAAGGTGTTTACTCCAAACTTTATGTGTTTTTATTTCAGTTTTTGTCCCAGCACCTTGTCTTCTCATGTTGAATATGACATTTGATGACGCCATTAAAGATGAAGGTAGAGATTTATGGTTGAAGAGAAACACTAAAGATTCGACCGACATTGTGTCAGATCCAGGAGCAATCGGGAGAGCAGGTCGATTCCAGGGAGATAACTCTAACATCGCAGTTCCATTCTTCAAAGGCAATTCATTCGGCACTCTGTTCAAAATGGCATTCCGTTTCAAGCTTTGTGATGACCAGCAAGAGTTCAAAATAGACAAAGCCTGTGATGGGGGTTCATCCACACCTTTTGTTTTCACGTTTACCGGTTGGGATAGTAAATTTACAGTTGCCATGGAGACTATGAATACTATTGGACCAATTGTAGAAGAATGCTTTGTTCCACAAGTAAGTCTCGCTCTTAATTTATCATTATTTTTTTATAGAAAATTCAGAATGCAGTGACATGAAATGAAATGGGGTTTAACGCCCTACTGTATAATGAAGACGGACAGTGTGCTATGAGGAAAATTTTGCCCGGGCAGCGGCACTATCGCCTACTCTTATATCGAATTCCAACTGCCAAGGGATCTTTTGCGTGCATGCCAATGTATACACGGGACCTCGGTTTTTCGTTTTATCCGGAGGACTAGACAAGGGGGAACCACGCCGGAAAATCTGGATGAACTTTCTCGGCCAATTCAAGGATCGAACAGGCTAGCGAGCCAGCGTCTTGCCCACTTAGCCACGTGATCCCCTCCGGCAAAAAGAACTACGAGGTCAAAATGTAAAGCATTCCACAGACCAGCGTGGTATTATAGTCGCGAGCACAAACGCGGAAGATCATCCATCCCTTTCCGGTATTATTAATAACGGTGACTGTCGAGAAAGTTCCAGGGTGCTTTCCCCCTGGCAAAGAGTAGGCGACAGCTGCGCTGGTCAAATTTCCCCTGATAGCACAATGCATGGGGTATGCTCGTCTTCATTAGCCCGGTTGACTGGGGAGAGTATAGATATGTTACCGATTTTGTTTCTTGTAATTTTGAATTGATATTTAGATAAATATTTACATAATATATTATATTTGAAATAAACATGCATATTATATTTCATATTTTAGACCAACAATGGTTGGAACAGTGTAGTCATGATTTATCAAGATAACTTTCTAGAAGTCATGATCAACGATTCACCCTGTATTTCATCAGAAAAATATTCAGGTAGGTCAAAACCATATCAGTGAGAAGATTTTTGTTGTTGGGCCATGAACTGGGCTCCAAGTGCTACTCATCCTGTTGATCTTTCTCTTGATCTTCTTCTTTGGGGCGACACTCTACGGAGAAAACCTAAACCCCGCCAATTGAAGTGTGATCGACCTGCCACTTGACATGTTTGTTCTTTGGAATATTTGGCATCGATTGAGGGACTTTCGATTTTGGATATGATATCACAATTCTAAGATGGCGGCGATGATTAGTACACACTTACTAGTGATAAGCACTGACGTATGATAAACAAACATTATTATGTAGCTCTGGGTTATTATTTTGACATGCTATCATCAGATACGAGAATTTATATATACTCTTCAAAAAATGAAGGGGATATTGAAATGCAAATACCTATGTAGGTTGTGATATGATAAATAGTCATGGACACTTGACATGCTTTGAGAGTATGTTCACAGATGAAGAACTTATCACCGCAACAGAACCACTGAGCTGCACATGCGACACGCAATAGCGCCATACACGTGGGAGGGGTTCATTGTCAAATTTGACACTTCAAGGAAGGGTTGATGAAAACTGACGCGTGCTGGTTTATCTATCCATGTTTGCTTTCCTATCGGTTCTTGCATAAGATTTACTGTTTAGCGTATCTTTGCTTTAGTGTGTTACGTTTAATTTGATCGGGAGACGCGTTCGTCGACGTCAACATCAACCGACAAGACTGCAAGAATTGGCCGTGGCACTGCAAGAGGAGTGGGCCTGATTTCCCCAAATCGTGATTGGGCGGTTGTTTAGGAGCATGCCACGACGAATTGCTGAATGTCTTAGGATTGGTGGAGCAATTACTCATTATTAAGACAAAAATTAAAAACGTCCATTTTCACTTTTGACGGTGTATCTCTTTGCGAGTGAAATGGGGCCGTCAGATAAGCCGCCCATATGAACTGTTTATGTTCATGTGTAGGCAATTGGCCTGTTATTAACATAAACTGGTTACCTCTAATAAAAACAGCAGTGCATTTCCGCAGTTTTTTATTGTTTCTAAATATCCCCAACTTTTTTTGAAGAGTATATATTCTGGCCGCGAATTCACAAAGCATTCTGTCTGAAGTTTAGTAGAATTTACTCAACTTTCATTGTTTTTGTGAAATATCTTTGATCCACAAACATAGTTTCTTCTTAATGTATTTGGTACATTAAAACAACAATCTATTTTAAAGGGCTATTTTTTAGTTAAAAGGGGGCAAAAAGTTTAAGAATGCTTTGTGAAATCGGGACCAGCTCTTAAAATGCGTAAATTAACGATGATCTCGGTACAGCGGAACAATTAATACACATTATTTATATAAAAATGTTATTTAAATTCAAATTTAGGTGAAGTGAAGACGTCTGAATGCCCTATTAATTTCCCCGGTGCAAATTTCTGTGGAATGATGGATGAGGTATTTGTTTTTCTATTTTTCGTGTGACAATTGTGGCCATGGGGTATATCATCATTCACGGGGTTGTCTGTTATTGGAAAGTACTCTGTTATAGAGTAACTTAGTATATACATCTCCCATTCTTGATTCCGCTTTAATTCCGTACATCTTATCAAGGCTAGATGTTGTAAACCTGGCTGTCGTTGCTTCAGGAACATGTAGTATATAGGACAGTCATATGTTTTGGGGTATAGGAAGGATTTGAATTTTGTCCAACAGATGGAACCAAAATTATTGTTTAGACTGGGCTTGGGTCTGGAATTTCCATCGTATTTCTTGATCAATCGAAGATGATCGTCTGGTTAAAAACCATGCATGGTGATCTTCTGTGTAGTCCAGATGACTCGGAAATCTGATTAATAACCATAGTAATCTATAGTGCAGTCCAGATGACTCGGACATTTTGTTAATAACCATAGTGACCTATAGTGCGAGCTAGATCACTCTGACAAAGTGACAATAAGAATCTGTGAAAACGTGATGTTCTTTAGTCCCTCGGCAATTTCCAAAATCTGATATGCAAGTTAGCTTGGCATATTATCACGAATAGAATGAATCTTTATTACGCAATAGTCAGGACAGCACATCCATAACAACACAGTTCTTATCCTAGATAACATCATGACGTTAATTATACGTAAAATGTACGTCAATGGGTCAGTAATACGGTTTACGGTAGTTTACAGTTTACCATCATTTTGCTCAGCTGCATAATGTTAATTTAACGTCAGAAAATGCGTCATTGCGTAATGATATACAGGCAGGCGTCCTGGAAGATGTAGATTGTTAATGGTAGAAACTAGAGCTACCAGTGGCGCTGGACACGACGTGATACAATACACTGGACTTTCGCCTTTTGATTGCGTTTGATTGGTCGGAGGAAAGAGCAGTTGGGTGCAAGAAAGGTCGATCTATATGTAATCACCAAAATAGGACAACCCTCTTTAACTTTCGGAGCCACGATTGCTCAGTGAGTATGGCACTGGCCCACTAACCTGGGGATTCTGGGTTCGATCCCGGTATGGGTCGAGAAAGTTCCTTGGAATTTACCAGCCTTATTTCCCTTACAAGAAAAAAAGTCTAGTCTTTCAGATGAGAAGAAAATCCGAGGGCCACCCATGTGCTCGCGAAAGATCCATTGACCCATGAAGAGTAGGCCGAAATAGCGCTGTCCGGGCAAAATCTCCCTTATAGCACACTTCAATGGCGGAAAAGTGGGACATTAAATCCATTTTATTTTATTTTGTATTTTCAGTTTTATATCACAAGAGGTTGTCGATATTAACCAAGAGGGGCAGGAATAGCCAATTAATTCGGTTTTACTCACATTGAGAAGAGAATTACATCTACTACTTAATTCATTATAAGACTTTAAAACTTGTATATTATTATTGTCATCTGTTAAATATTGCTCCTATTTTTAATATTTTTAGATTCGTTAATAAATATAAGAATGCTTTATGTATTCAAGTAGACCTTTAATGTTCTTCCTATCCTTAATTTCTTTTGAAATATCCTTTCAGTACATAAAGGTATTTTCAACATATAAATGGAAATATAATTTGTAAAATTATAATCTATATCAATACATGAAAAGCGGGACACGAATGTCTTGAATCGGATCAGACGGACTTTGTGTGTATATTGGCCACCGTTATTTGTGAGACCAACCTTTGTGTTATTTGTCGTCATGTTTCCCATTCTGAATATTAAAATTCTTGGCTCTCTGTCAGTTCCCACACTTGCTTCTTCTAGTCTTGCTGTACTTCCTCTGGCTATTTTATAATAGATATATTAAAGAAAGAAACGAAGCAATGGTAGACTGTTTTATTTGAACACATATTATACTCATCCACCAAACATGGAATAAACATTCTACTATTAGAGAGCTTTAGTTAAGGTATTTAAAGAGAACGTCTTCTAAAACATGGTTCTTCCGGGTAAATGGTATGCTGGTTAATTTATATAATCATAATCATATAGAAACTCTTTAAGGCCGTTTTTAATACCCCAAAATTTTAATAAAAGGAGATAGTTATTTGATAAAAGCGGTTTGGAAAACTTTTGTAAATTCTGATAAAAGAAAAAAATTTAAATACATTGATCTTAATTGAGCACTACGAAAGGTGTATTCAAGCTAAAGTTTCTCAATTGAAACCAAAATGCAGACCAAGCGATAAATAATTAATTGTAGGCCAACCCAAACTAAGAACAAGTACGATGGTACACAATTCGATGTACGTCAGTTGATGCGCAATTGGCCAAGGAACAGGCATGCCAAGTTCACGTCGCCTCAAAGAAGAAGAAGAAAAAGAAGAAGATGTGTAGCGCGTGGGGCCCAATTTCTGGTCAAGAAAAAAATAAAAGAATACAATACACAAGTTGAAACACTACCAAATACATAAATGTAATTAATTATCTACAATTTGCATTAGATGTAATTCTGTCCATCATACAGGAAATAAGATTAATATAGATTTTAACATGCCGCATCACATTCCAGTCATTGTCTGTGTTAGTCATGCTGTCTAAAAATACAGAAGTCTACTACTACAAAGTTTTGAATATTTATGGACTACTGTAGTTTTAGAGAAATGGCCATTCACATATTATTTATCGTAATGACCGTCTATATTCTAAACGCCCCTCTACGTTATTGGTTTATACTAATGCTGAGAAAGCGTCAATTTTGTTCTCAATCATATCTGGGGGTTCTGGAACGTTCTCTGGATGGGGTACCTCTTCTTCAAATCGTCGACAGTACCGAGAAATGGTTATCTACAAGTGATAAAAAGAAAAGATTTTAGTTTAAAATCAGATGTCAGATGCGTTTTGTTTAATGGATCCACTAATTAGTTCTTCTAATTTAATTGCATTATGTTGTTATATGGAACACTGTAGATGCCATTTCCGACAACTGTGGGTTCCGGCTCCCCTAAATTGAGTCTGAGCGGAAGGGAAGGGGCTGGACCCCATGTACTTATCGTCAGTGTAGGTAGTGTGATAAGTCCTTCTCCCCACCCTTCACTTACCAGTGAGTTTCTAATATAGAGATGGGCGCTACTAAAAATTAATTTATAGTAAAAATATTTTTCGTTTTGGAATCTAACTTTAGTAGAACTTACATCATCAAGATAACCAACATATCTTGATTCTTTCTCCAGTGGATCAGTTCCAATAGTCATAGGACAAGATGTCTTCTGCACAGGTCCTATAATATAAAAATAATCAGTTTCACTCAAAATCCTTTTAAAAACCATTAAATGTAGAATATTATCAATTTTTAATTAAATAATATCTGAAATTTAATAACAGGTGCCCACAATTATTATCTTACCTCTAAATTCTTCTGAAATGATACACGGTTGGCCATCAACACGAAGTAAGAGAGTTCCATCTTCATAGATAAGCGACACCTTATGCCATTGGTAGGGAAGCTAGAACAAACAAAATCATTTGAATAAGTTTAAAACACACTTTCAAGGGCAAACTGATCCGTGCTCTCTGTGAAAGATGAAATAAGGAAACATTGATGATGCGTCAATATTACACTTTTTATTCATTATCGATAAAATTCTGAAACTATTTTTTAAATTTAAAAATGTGTTTAATGTGACATTTCAGCTAGGACTAGTTACTCTTACTGATACAAACCAATCTATTTTTTTTAACATATTTGTACTCCATATCATTTCTTTTGAATCTGGATATTTCATAATATTGAAAGAAGGCTTAATTTGTTATTCACCCTTTCTTGAAAAAGATGCACAAAAGAGTACACACGCTGTTAAATTGTTGATTATAAACACAAAACACGCCGGGGTAAACACAAACTCCATCCGCCACTAGTCCATGTGGTGGGAAGAGTAGTAGCATGGTAACTTTTAAAAAATCAGGGGAGTTAGGGGTTCGGGCTGTATCATAAGATCGGTCATTGAGTCAGCTAGCGTTATTTCGATTCCCCGGTTGTACCTGGCAAGGAGTGAGTTGTCCAATCTCGCGAGTTTTCTCCGGGTCTTCCGGATTCCTCCCACTGGTAAAGACCAATTGAACCATATGTTAGTCCCGAAATGACCTAGTTTGTGCCGCGTGAACGTTAAACCCCATTTATCTCTCTCTTACAAAAATAATAATTCTATGGCTTTATTTATTGTGCTACCGGAATAAACTATAATTATAATCTAAGCATAGAATCCAAACTAGGTGCTGCTCAGGTTGCCTTTCTTATGAATAGTTAGTTACAAAATCTTATAATAGTCTCGTGTAAGCTTGTAGTGAATCGAAAATGATCTTGGTGACTGTTAACACTCTCGACTTCGGTCGGTAACAATAAATGACTTCCTTTTGTGGGCCATTTCCGGATCCACCATGGCAAAGATTGTTTTGGCATTTCAACCATTTCTGTCACTTGTGTGAAATTAATGGACACCAACAATGTCCGTAAATTGTGACAACATCATAGGACTGAAGAGGTTTAAAACAGTGTTATATTAAAACCAAAGGTAAATCAAAACTAACAACTTACAAGATCTCTTGTACAGACTATGGCCTTGCGAACATTGGCGGTTTCGAATGCCAACAAAAACGATTGATCTTCGGCCCGGAAACCAATGGCGATAGAGGGCGTGGTATAACCCAGTTCTGAGACGTTACATCCGTTTGACATGATGATTTGGTATTTATCTTTGGTATCAGACTTCTTCTCGGCTTTAAAGCTGAATTCAATTTGAAGGGAATCACTCATCTCATTTCCAGCAAAATACCATACTGTTAAAAAGGCGTCTTGTAAATAAGCGGCCCTGGTGCTCGTTTTGCCTTGTATCTGTCGTAAAGACAAAATGGCGCCCGGGTTCAGCTCAATAAATGACGACTTGGCATGGTCGATGAGCCCAGTTTCAAATGTGGCATTAAACATGGTGTCACAGGGTTGAGCTTCTGAAAAACAAAACACAGAATGTGATGGGATTTAAAGTCTAACTGTTTTCTGTAACAACGGGATAATGAAGATGGACATACGCCATGCAGTATGCTATGCGAGAAATATTGTTTGTCCGGCATTTTCCTTGCCTAGGTCCGGCACCTCCATCAACCGGGCTAATGAAGATTGGCATACGCCATACGATGTACTATAAGAGGAATTTCGCCCGGACAGCGGCGCTATACTATTGTTTCGATTTGCAATGTCAGGGGTATAGGTACTGTGACTCTAATAAAAAATAAGAGGCAGTGAATAATATTAAAGATCAATTAACATTCATTAAGATTATATTGGAAGTGGTAAAAAATATTTTCTGAAAGTTCAAATATTTCGTAAAATGTTTATATTCAACTGTGTGTATCTTAGTATCAAGTGAAAATCTTACCATCGCCATGAACGAAGTTTTCATTGGAATCAGGTCCCCAGATACATCGACACATCGTCTGGTGCCATATTAGCCCTGAAACTGCTAGATTACAGTCCCGCACAACCCATTTCCGGTTTACCATTTGTTCGTATTTACTGCTATTAAATGAATGGGGTCGATAATCCAGACATTTGTGGGGTAATTCCAGGGCATCCGATGCGTATTCACACCTGCACAACGTCTGGTTCCACACCAGACCTGTCTGACAGACCTGTTCATACCAACCTTTATTATAGTAAACTAAAAACTTGTTGGGATCAGTTTTGTGAGTCTGATGCGTTGCTGAACAATCTGAGAACGAAAACATTAACGGATATTAATCTCTGTACAATATTCTGATTTACATGATACTTATTTCTTTTAAGCTATACTGTAACCAAAAGGAATCGTATCCAGGACGAGTCGTAACCAGAGACTGTCGTTATATACCCTCTCGTAACCAGTTTAGATACATCCTACTCAACGTTCACAAGTCGACTCGTAACCAACATAAGAGTCCCAAATATGTTCATTTTTAGTTTATCAGAGCCTACAGAAGCAGTTCTACATTAAGGGACTACCATCCTGTGCCTTAGGCGAGGGTCCAGGGGTCGCCTAGGCCCCGGAAGCTCCTGGTGTTCTGGATCGCCAGCGACGCTTTCAAAGCGATTTCTGACTAATAAAATTACTCAGCAACAAAGTGAAGTTTTAATTCTTTTCTAAATCCCTTACCTTGAAAACACAATCGATGGTGGTTTCATGTGATGCTGAACTGGACAAATATATGCATAATAATTCCAAGGTTGTGGACACTCTAGAGGTCACAATGTTTATCCGATTTTGATGAAACTTATAATGTATATTTATAGCCCAAATATCTCATATGTATATTGCGTGTAATAACCCGGAGAAAGGAGCACTTACGATCAAATTATTGCGAGGCTAATTGAAATGCGCAATTGGAAATGATGCAATGTGCAACTTGGTACCACGTGTGCCATAAGTTGCCATCCTAGCTAAAAGTAACATTTTGATACTTACTGACAGCAAGTTTGGTAGGAATAGTTGGTTGAATTGTAGTCAGTTTGTTTATATTGTTTACTTCCGCTCTCATGTTCAGTGGTTTTGTCTGCTTTAGCTTTCTGTTGTCTTTTCCTTTATTTGTGGGAAGCGTTAAACACTGACAGATAAGACCCAAGAGGATCAGGCATCGTATTGACGCCATGTTGGTTGTAGAATTACGTTTTTATAGTCTGAAATGATTATCAACATAAGGTAAGGCAATAATAAAATTATGACGAACTCATGGGTTTTCTCCGGGACAGCCAGTTTCCTCCCAATGCTAAAGCCCCCTACTCGCAAGCGAATTATTGAAATAAAATTGAACCCTATTATATTAGTCCCGAAATGATCTAGTTTGTGTCGAGTGGACGTTAAACCCCATCTCTCTCTGTTTTTCAGTTTCTTTCTTTAATGTGTTTTCCAGATTTACCAAATAATGTAATGAAATCTTTTCATACCGTATAAATGAATGAAATATTGTTAATGGCACGTCAGCTCCAACCGGGCTATATTGCGCCAAAAATATACGTATGCTGGCAGTATAAAACAAAGGGATATCACCCTAGGCTGGAGCGGACGTTAAGGCCGAAGAACCAGCCGCCAACAAATCTCTGTATATAGTCATAGAGCAGGAGCCCAGGGGGTTAACCTAGCTGAAAAGTGTACCAATTTTCTCCTATGTGGTATCAATGTATGTATATCTGGTATCATCAGAATGTAAGTCTGCCGGGTTTCTGGTGGTGGGTGTGGTATTCCACGCCCAAAATGCCATGCCCCCAACTATTCTAGATTAGCTCAAAAGTGTACCACATGAAAATCGCACAGCAATGTACCGTACATCTTCGGGTATTACAAAAACACTCTGACAGACATTTCTAGTGGTGGGGTACCCCTGACAGAGCTATGGAATTGCGAGACATTTGTAGTGATGGAGTATCCCTGACAAGAGTTATCTAATTTCCAGACCAAAGCTAGGCTAGATTAGCTCAAAGCTGTACCACCTAAAACAGCTTTGGAGTTGTTCAGTACCACCACAGGAATCATGAGTGACCACTGCCAGACAGTTTGTGCTGTGGGTTGCCCCTAACAGACACGCCCAAAATAACACGACCCCCAACTAAGATAGATTAGTCGGCACTGTTCCTGTGGTCCAAAAAATTAAAAATTATGCCAGGATGCGTAGAATACTAATACCTAGCACATATGGAAAAGGCGATACACTGCGGTTGTAGGAACAATTTTATTTTTCAAAAACGCATTTTTAGCCCCATAAAATGTTTTTTGACCAAAAATCAATTTCTTGCAATCGCAGTTTATCGCCTCTTCCATACGTGCTAGGTATTAGTATCCTACGCAGCCTGGCTAAAAATCTATTTTTTTAGAACACGGGAACAGTGCCTGCGAAGCTAGCCTAGTTGGAGGCGTGGCATTTTGGGGCGTGTCTGTTAGGGGTAATCCACCGCACAAACTGTCTGGCAGTGACCATTCATGACTCCTGTGGTGGTACTGAACAACTCCAAAGCTGTTTTAGGTGGTACAGATTTCAACTAATCTAGCCTAGCGTTGGTCTAAATATTAGATAACTCTTGCCAGGGATACTCCACCACTACAAATGTCAGGCAATTACATAGCTCTGTCAGGGGTACCCCACCATTAGAAATGTCTGTCAGAGTGTTTTTGTAATACCTGAAGATGTACGGTACACTGCAGTAAGATTTTCGTGTGGTACACTTTTGAGCTAATCTAGCCTAGTTGGGGATTATGGCATTTAGGGCGTGGAATACCACACCCACCACCAGAAACCCGGCAGACTTACATTCTGATGATACCAGATATACATACATTGATACCATATAGGAGAAAATTGGTACACTATTCAGCTAGGTTGACCCCCTGGGCTCCCGGTCTATCAGTGTCTTACGCGCTGAGCCAGCGTGGCGCTATTGTATTAAAACAAAGCCTGTTATTTTTTATATATTATAAGAACGCTCTGTTATATTTCTGTGTATTATAAGAACGCTCTGTTATATTTTTGTGTATTATAAGAACGCTCTGTTATATTTTTGTATATTATAAGAACGCTCTGTTATATTTTTGTGTATGATAAGAGGAAACCTACGAGGTTGGACAGGCGACCCAACTCCTTGTCACTTACAACCGGAGAATCGAAACCACTCCAACTGACTCAATGACAGACCTTATGATACAGCACGCACGTGCTAACCATTCGCCTCCCCCCCCCCCACACACACACACCCTGTACTATAAGAAAGCTTTGTTATATTTTTGTGTATTATAAAGGAAGCTCTGTTACATATTTCCACCCGTTCAAGGTTCTGTAGGATTTACACGACCAGTGCAGACAAATACTGGAATCAATGACAACACAGATCACGTGTTTACATGACAATATTCCATTATCCTACAATTGTAACGTCACGTTTTTGCAGATTCTGTAAATTCGTCGAACAAACGCGATATTTGTATTAGATGAGTTAACACCATAGTGGATGACGACATGGTTGATTTCTTGTTTAAACTAAATTCTTAATGGGATGTGTAAACACGGATACGTTGAATCGGGTGAGAAAGTAAGACTTTTGAAGTGTAAAAATCATTTTAAAAGAAGTGACAGATCCCTTAGAAGTTGGAATCCTGACTAGACTAGATTAGAAATGAAATGAAATGGGGTTGGACGTCTTACTGTTCAGCACCGAATATGCTAATGAAGGACATACGCCATATAGTGTTTTATGGGGGAAACATTGCCCGGACAGAGGCACTACGGCCTACTGTTATATCGAATTCCAACTGTCGAGGGTTCTTTTACGTGCATGCCAATGTATATACGGTAAACACCGGTTTCGTCCCATCGAACGACTATACGTTGTCCATTGCCTCCGTCCTGCAACACTCATAATTGACAACAGAAAACAAAATTAATTTATAGCTTACTTAGTCGTTAACTTTATTATTAAATATCACTAATCGTTTACGAATCTTTAACTTTATTATTAAACATCATTTGTCGTTTACTTTATTATTAAACATCCTTAGTCATTTACTTTATTATTAAACATCCTTAGTCATTTACTTTATTATTAAACATCATTAGTCCTTTACTTTATTATTAAACATTATTGGTCGTTTACTTTATTATTAAACATTATTGGTCGTTTATTTTATCACTAAACATCATTGGTCGTTTACTTTATTAAACATCATTGGTCGTTTACTTTATTAAACTTCATTGGTCGTTTACTTTATTAAACTTCATTGGTCGTTTACTTTATTAAACATCATTGGTCGTTTACTTTATTAAACATCATTGGTCGTTTACTTTATTAAACATCATTGGTCGTTTACTTTGAGAAAGTAGTGAACTTTAAGGATCGATTAAATTAAATGGAATAAATTTTATATAAAAGGTTTTCAGACTATGAAGTCAAGCCCATTTTAATAGTCTCTAGTTTACGGCAAACGGCGCGGGACAATAACGTGTATTAGAAATGAAATGAAATGGCGATTTAACGTTCTACACATTTCGGAACATGGCCATTTTGGAAAATAACTCATGCAGATAGACCAGATATCTGAAAGTCCCCAAATATACACAATCAAAAGAGTTTTCAAACTGAACTATTCATAGCGGAATCCTCAAACACCGAGACCAAAGCGTCCATGATAATTTTGAAACTTTCATAATGCACAAATAATATATTCTTTAAAAAAAAAAAAAATAAAATAGTTCCACATTGAACAGACGAGTCTTTAAACTCGATTTGAATGATTCCACTGAAGAGGCAGATTTTACACTTAATGGTAAGGAATTCCATAGATTTGGAGCACTTAACTGGAAATATTTGTATCGAAAAGTTTGAAGGTTAAATATGTTCTTCAAAATTGAAACATTTTTTATTCATTTATTTCTATTTTTTACCTAATATATATACATGTACATGTCTTTAAGAAAAAAATTGTGCTCCCATAATTTAATTACAACATCATTTAATATTTTTCTAAATTGTGTGCCTTATGAAGCTTTCGTTGGCATTCAAACCATGACATATACATTTTGGATAAAATTGAAATCAATTTTTTTTTAAAAATGACAATGACAATAAAAAAATAAGACATCGATTAATTTGTTTCGTTTAGAGTAAAAATATCGAGAAATAAAAGTTTCAAGAAATCTCTCCTTACCTTTTTACCAAGAGGTCTTCATAAGTCACATATCATTGTTCCAACAAGTTGTGAGAGAATTATTGTCAAGGTTCTGGTTTTAAATACCGTTTATTTAACCTTCTCGTAAAACAAAGATTCGCTCGAGGAAATATAAACAAATAAATCTCACATGGAGAACTTTCCTTGAAATCTTTGTCAACAAAGCGACTGGTTAATCTAAGTCTAAACACCATCCGAAACCAATGAAATTGCCGTCGTTTTTAGGAATGTGATACATACACTTTGACATACATATTTTACCCATAAGAAAAATGTGTATCAACCACATATATACCTTTTAAATAAAGTTGAAATCAATTCTTACAAAAAAAAGTAGCATGCGATCAATGTAACTTGGACAAGCCGAATACGACATGGTCCTTTGAAATGAAATGAAATGAAATGAAATGAAATGGGGTTTAACGTCCTACTGTTCTGCTACGAACTGGGCTTATGAAGACGGGCATACGCCATATAGTGTGCTATAAGGGGAAATTTTGCCCGGACAGCGGCAGTACGGCCTACTCTTATATTGAATTCCAACTGTCTAAGGATCTTTTACGTTACTAGACAGCTGTCTTTGTCAAGCCCTCCGTCTTGCATCACTGACAAGTGGGAACTACTGGGAACCACGCCGGAAAATTTGGATGATCTTTCTCGGCCAATGCAGGGATCGAACACCCGACTTACCCACTTAGCCACCGTGACTCCCGATATGGTCCTTTGATTAATTTGTTATTAATGGAATGGGGTGCAGCTAATGGAAAATACAATCACATTTACCAATCAGACCGAAGTAGAATAATTAAATCTGTGCGGATGACAGTGATATCAGGAATGACGGGGGCTTTATTATGCCGATTTCGACTTGGTTTCCCCTTGTCACTGATGCAGGGCGGAGGCCTTACAAGGACAGCTGTCTAGTCGTTCGAATTGGACGAACAACCGAGGTTACGTGTACGCATTGGTGTGCACATAAAAGATCCTTGGCAGTTGGAATTCGATATAAGAGCCAAATCGGAGCAGAACAGTGGGACGTTAAAGCCCATTTCATTTCATCTTATTATGGAGATGTTATCTTAGATTAGCTGATATCTGCTGACGAGAAGTACAGTAGGCTAAATGACATTTTGTGGACGGCAATGATATCAGGACTGGCTTGGGCTTATTATTCAAAAATTAACTTAGATTAGTCGATATCTGTTGACGAGAAGAACAGTTGATTAAATAAATGCGCACGGATAGCATTGGTGGGCGGATTTATTTGCGAGGCTGTTATATTGAAGATTTGTTTCAAGTTTAATCACAGAGAGAGGGGAAATGGAGTTTAACGTCCACTTGACACAAACCAGGTCATTTCGGAACTAACATTTGGTTCCATTTTATTTCAATAATTCGCTTGCGCGTAGGGGTCTTTAGCAGTAGGTGGAAGCCAGAGGACCCGGAAAAAACCCACGAGGTTGGACAGGCGCCCCCTACTCCTTATCACGTACGATCACAAACAGTCAATTGTAAGAGCAGTTATTGCGTTTCAAATAATCAACCAGTCTATTACACAAAGCTGGTATATGTATAGTATCCGCAGATGGTATTAAAGTTACAATTTCATATTTTCTAAGAAAGTCAAAACATAATTATTTCTATGTCTTTTGCTCAAAAGGTTGTCAACTCACTATTATACGATCATAGGTTATCTTTCTCACACTTAAAAATCTTCACACCGGAAATAATAACACAATTACCTCCCAATTACCTCCCTTGTTTTCCTATTCCCCACCATGGAATAGCTATCTTCAAACGTTTGAATTTGAAGTTGAAAATAATATTTTTGCCAATTTCTAAACTGGCAAGAGTGAATTATAGGATTAATAAGATTATTCTTTAACTAAGCAGGACTGTTTATAGATATCATCTATTTTAGGGCTTTATTTTAATACATTTTAAAAAAATATAACTTAAAAATATGAAATTGTAACTTTAATGTTGCCTTAGACACTTTTATTAGGGATATAAGCCTGACTTTATTCGATTTCTTTGTCTTTAAGTATTTAAAGTTAATGCATTTCATGGAATCGGCCAAAGGAATTGCAGTAGGATAAATAAATAAGCATGATGTTCGAACATACGCGAGTGATTCTGATAAATAGAGAATCTCCTACTAGTCTTTTTTGATATCAGAAATGACGAGTGGGAGATTTTATTTATCACCAAATCCTTTCTTACATGCACAAAAAATAAATAAATATAGATTTCACTTTTACTGGACCTGATTACATTACGGCGTAGTGATACATCAATTTTTAATTTAAAAAAATGAAATGTTCTTTGAAAATATAAAAAAAAAGTGGTTCGTTTTTAATTGACCAACCAAATTCATGTAAAGCGATATCTCGCAGTAGATTATGAAATTTTTCACACAAGCGATATGTATCATTGGGCGATAATGAATAATATTTTAACTTTTTATACTATCAACAAACCAGATTGCACTACGAGTGACTGTGACAAAAAAGGTATATGCCCAGATGTCAATTTATTACATTTTAAAAAATTCGACCAATGAGATGGTCTTTGCTAGATTAAATATGAGTGGATGGCATTGATGTTTAAACTATGGTAATGAGGGTATATTCCAAAATGCAATGCATTCACTAGAAGTAAAAGTGTCGCCTTTCAAGAATCAACTAATCAGATACGCAGTAGGTCAATTAAATATGCATGACCCATGTAGTTTCATTCTTCTTCCAACAACGGTGTCGTTCAATTTACCTTATTGGTTATTTGGATTCACTTTGATATACTGACCAGAGCCCGGTTTACCTATAGACTTGGCGGGATGAAGCCTAGAGCCTCAAGATCTGGGGACCCTCTGCCCAATGTGTATAATATTTTTGCCCGGACAGCGGCACTATGGCCTACTCTTATATCGAATTCCAACTGCCAAGGGATCTTTTAAGTGCACGCCAATGTATACACGGGACCTCGGTTTATCGTCCCATCCGAACGACTAGACAACTGTCCTTGTCAGGCCCACTGTCTTGCACCTCTGACAAGGGGAAACCACGTCGGAAAATCCCGATGAACTTGCTCGGCCAATGCTAGCGAGCAACGCTATCACTACGTGCATGTATGTTGGGAGAAGGGGGTTCATTGTGGTCTTTTTCAGTGGTGTCTATTACTTGGTATGCAGATGTTCAATTTTGAACCAATACGATAATATTTCAAGACACTGTATGTTTCCATAAACATTCCAGCGGTGGCACGTGGCGACGTACAAGGTTATTTCTCCAAGAAAAACGAGCGCCATTGTAAAGACGTTTAATTCCTTAAGTTAACAGTCGTCTGGTTTTGAAAGCTGATGATATCCCATACGAAACACACACAAATAATGCCTATTATCGCTGATGTCGTTAACGGAAACTGAGAAATCCTAAGAGTTATAATTTTGGCAATATTTCTAAAAGATGCTCTTGTTATTTAAATGTTAAAAGTTACAGCTACGTAGTCACCTCGACTTTAGAAAATACCGCTGAAATATAATCTACACAATTTAATAACTTGGCGATTACCTCAAAGAAGCTAATCTTAAAAGTTCAAGTTTGTTGCCAATGTTACAATAAAAAAATATATATATTTGGCTTTTCACCACAATTCCTTTTAATTGGAACTCTGAACTTATTCAACTTATCCCCCCCCCCCCACACACACACACACACACCACACTAAATCACCACCACACCCTCCTTTGAAAGCCTTGTGTCAGGGTTGAGGTTTTCGAGGTTTCAATGCTAAACGTAGCCCTAACCACCTAACCATTGTTCGCTGTATAACCACAAAGTCCGTATCCGCTGTCGGCCAACAACGTGGTTTTCCCTGGCGGTGGTGAATAACGGAGAGCCTGACAAGAAACCGCGCCTAGTCGTTCGGATGTTACGCAAGACCGTTGACATACACGTAAGAGAGAGAGAGAGAGAGAGAGAGCGAGAGAGAGAGAGAGAGAGAGAGAGAGAGAGTTTAACGTCCACTCGACACAAACTAGGTCATTTCGGGACTAACATATGGTTTAATTTTATTTCAATAATTCGCTTGCGCGTAGGGGTCTTTAGCAGTGGGAGGAAACCGGAGGACCTGGAGAAAACCCACGAGGTTGGACAGGCGACCCTACTCCTTGTCACGTATACACGTAAAAGAAACCTTGACATTTGGAATTCGACTAAGAATAGACGGGAACGTATTTCGTCTTCATTAGCCTGGTTGGTGCGGAATAGTAGGATTTTAAACTCCATTTTGTTTCATTCTGTTCGCCGAGTCGTGTATAGGGTCGGATTAACTGTGTGGGGTCGGAACAAGTCATGGGGTTGGACCTGAATTAAGAAAAAACATTTTGAAAATCGATTCAATTTAGTGCAATCTGAGGTATATTCTAGGCGAGTAACACAAGTTAGAAATATTGAATATTTTTGTTTTTATTAGAACAAGTTTCAAACTTGAATCAATGTACGAGTCCCAACCAGTCCTTCAAAAGAGGGGGGTTGGGTGGCTGAATGGTAAGCACGTGCGCGCATAAAGTCTGTCATTGAGTCAACTGGCGTGGTTTCGAATCCCCGGTTGTACGTGGCAAGGAGTAGGGTCGCCTGTCCAACCTCGTGGGTTTTCTCCGGGTCCTCCGGTTTCCTCCCACTGCTAAAGACCCCTACGCGCAAGCGAATTATTCCAATAAAATTGAACCATATGTTAGTCCCGAAATGACCTAGTTTGTGTCGAGTGGACGTTAAACCCCATTTCTCTCTCTCTCTCCTTCAAAAGACAAACGGGGAGGGAGAATGGGGTTTAACGTCCACTCGACACAAACTAGATCATTCTGGGACGAACGCATGGCTCAATTTTATTTCAATAATTCCTTTGTGCTTAGGGGTCTTTAGCAGTGGGAGGAAACAGGAGGACCTGGAGAAAACCCACGAGGTTGGACAGGCGACCCTACTCCTTGTCACGTACAACGTACAACAGTCACTAATAATATGAGAAACCTTTATCAAGAAGTAGTCCAATTTGTCCAATTGCGCCACATAAACCCTAGATTTTGTCGTGTAGTTCGGGTTTCAGAGTGGACAGGGCCAAAGTATTTAGCCCATTTTCAGTGTATATACACAATTACATAATTGTTGTTTGTGTGCGATTGTTTGGAGAAAACGGTGAGTATTTCTCTTTGCACGTAGGTGTCCACTGTTAAATTCAACAATATCTCTGTCAACTTGGATCTACTTGTTTTCCTTTTGATTTGGTCAGCTGGACCACATAGATTATAAAAAGATTATCTGGTTTTACGAAAGAATAACATGGATTAGATTAAGGTACACGATAGAACAAAAAAAGATTTATGAAGTGAAAGATCGCTTTGTTCTCTCATCACCTCTGTTTCAATAGACGGAGAGAGAGAGAGAAATGGGGTTTAACGTCCACTCGACACAAACTAGGTCATTTCGGAACTAACACATGGTCCAGTTTTATTTCAATAATTCGCTTGCGCGTAGGGGTCTTTAGCAGTGGGGGAAACCGGAGGACCAGGAGAAAACCCACGAGATTGAACAGGCGACCCTACTCCACAGAGTAAAAATCACGTGTAACCCCGTGGTTTTTTTTTTCCGGGTCCTCCGGCATCCCCCCCCCCCCCCTGCTAAAGACCCCTACGCGCAAGCGAATTGCTGAAATAAAATTGAATCATGTGTTAGTCTCGAAAAAACCTACACGTAGTTTTTGTCGTGTGGACGTTAAACCTCATTTCTCTTACTCTTTAAAACCTGTTGACTATGTAAAGTTTCCACTGAATTAGAACCGATATTAGTTTCACCACATGCAGCAATGAAGATAAGCATATCAGTTTCGTGCACGATATCTGTCACTATGTGAGTGCTCTGAATTGGTGCTCGTCCATAACGTGTATACATTTTTTGTATACTGTGTACATTATGTTTTGTATTGACATATAATATGTACCCTGTATGTGCAGGGTTTTATACTGTCTGATTATGGGACTATTCTATTCTATTCTATTCGTGTACCAATGGTAAAATGTTTATTTTGTCTTAAATATTGGATATCAGAAGCTCATCTTTTCTCGGTAAGATCACAGCATCAATGTTGATTTAAACTGACAAATAATTGGTGTTTTCAATGTCGAAGACTTTGAATGATATTGATTTAGAGACTTATGGCTACTTTAGCTACTTTAATTGAACGCAAACCGGTCCAACAAACCGGTTTGCATTCCACTAGCTTTGATTGGAATAAAGGGAGATAACTCCAGTTTGAACGCATTTCTCCATTTTCAAAACAAAAAATGTGAATTATATGTTGTGATTCTTGAAAAAATGAGAATGCATCGCTTCATTAATGTCAAATTTGAGTATATTATCTTCATTTTTGTGTTATGTTTACTTAAGAATTTAGTGAATGCTGGTAAAGTTACTGTCAGCACGCTGAATCTATGGAATGTAATGTTTTCCTGGGATGTTCGGAAATTTAGGATTGCAGAAATGGTAAAGAACCAATTTTTAACCCTATAGAATGAGTCTAAAAAGCGACATATGGGCATGATTTATTGTAGCCTATTGCAATTTCTCAGGTGTTTGTTTAACTGTAGAATGATCTGTATAGGCGTATCCATATTCATCAAAGAGGGTCGGGTTGATCAAGAAGGATCCACCTTCAGCACTTCAGGATCTTTCATTAGGCCTGGTATTCCTCCTCTAATATTCCTATAGTCATAGATCTTCAGATGGCTAGGACGGAAATAATGAGGTCCACCGGTGTACATATTGGTGTACCGGTGTGTAAAAGAACTGATCATTGGAATTTGAAGAAGAGTGGGCGGAAACAGCACTGTGGACAAAATTCTCCCCTCACATTGCATAACACTAATTAATTGAACTGTTGATAAAACCCCATTCAATTTCATTCATCAGAGTTACATTTTTGATCTTTCATAATTGTAATAGGCTGATTCAGCCATTACCTTTCTACAATTTGTATAAAGCTATTTCTGCTTTTGAAATGATTTCCATTCCGTTTTTGGTTTCAAGCACTTACATGATGTGTTGCAACCTAAAATTAACCTACCACACATGATGTTATTTTAACAGATCAGAGATAGTCATTCAGATATTGCAGTATTTCAAGAAGCCAGATCTGATGTTGATGAAACGAGAGACCAGATAACAGAGCTACAGCATTTATTGCCAGAATTTCGATGGTCTATTTACAGAACAGCAAATACAGTAGAAAAATACAAACCTTATGGGCGTTTAAAGGGCTGGGAAAAAGAAGGTGGGCTAATAATCTATATCATTTAAGCTTATTATAATTATCTTGGCCTTTGAATATTACAAAATAGCATCACAGGTTATTATATGGAGATTCGCATGTCATCTTACGATTGGTTCGGAGGCAAAACTAAAAGCTTATTCTTGTCTGTGAAATATCGCCGAAGACATTGTTAACTGGTGGATTCGGGATTGAGACCAATTTTCTCAGACATGCTAATTTGTCCAGACTAAGATTTGTTGCAGTCGAAGCTGAAACAAAATAGACAGGAGTTACATATTGGGACATTTTAATAAATATACAGGCCTAATTATGATCAATGCAACCTCTGATCATTTGTAATTTTCATTTTTACAGGACTAGTTAATTAGTTCGTAAAAGAACTTTTATGGGAAGTTTCTTAAACAAATATCCTTTTTTGAGAAAGAAAATTCTTCCCTTGTGAATTAAATACTTTGTTTGGAGAAGTTAAATTCAATAAGATCTACAGCTATACAGTGCTATCAATAATTCGTAAAATTAGTCATGATAGAAACATCAGACTATTGACCAATCGTATTAAATCACAGATCATATTTCGTTTTTGGTTTTTTTTTATAGTTCAAAATTTCGTTTTACTTATCTTCACAACACTAGGATCTGAAAGAGTTGTTATATAACTAGGTGTTCTAGTTAATGTGAGGAATTATTAGCCAATGAAACGATCTGTTACGACGAGTTCTTGGCATGCACGGAACTGTGGGTAAACCCCTAGAAACATCAACGCTGATTGATTATTCAATGTCTGACCCTGACAAGACCTCCTAGTACAACTGGTCACATCTTCATGTAGTGTAGGCCATCGAAAGTATAAAAAAGTGAAATGAAATCAGATTATCTATTGACTATTTTTGTTTTTCAGGTTTAGGCATACTAAGTAAATATCCAATTATAGAAGTTACAGTTCAACATTTACCACGTACAGAGGGACCAGATACTAATAAAAGAATAGCATTACATGTTAAGATAAGTCTTGAGAGGAGAAAAATATTGAATATTATTGCTGTACATTTTTCCTATCATCGGCAACAGCAATGTGAAAATTCCATAGCTGTTTTAAATTTTATATACAGTGAGTTGAATAATTTAATTTATTGCTAGATCAGTAAAAGAATTGGAAATTTAAAAAAAATCTCAAGCTGGGAGTTTTATTTTCATCCATTAGTTTTGTCCTACTTTTAGATTCTATATACATGTACCGGTACTGTTAATAACAGTAGACTTATTCAGGAAAACCCTAATGCACCTAAAAGATCCCTTGGCAGTTGAAATTCGATATAAGGGTAGGCCATAGTGCGCTGCCCGGGCAAAATTTCTCTCATAACACACTGTAATATGTATTATGCCTGTCTTCATGATCAGTAGCCCAGTTGGAGTAGAACAGTAGGATGTTAAACCCCATTTCATTTCATTTGCTTTTATATTTTATTCTGTTAAATTGATTTGTTAAACCCAAATCTTCCAAAGTTTTATTAATCTCATCCTATTTGTTCCAGTGAAAAAACTTCAGAATGTTATTATTGTTGGAGATTTTAATACATACGAAGATTATCAGTACCCAGTACAAGTTTTTACGAGAAAAGATAACAGAGTGAAAAACGAATGTGATGAAGCAAAAATAGATTTACCAAAACTGTCCAGATTTCAAGATGTCTGGCAAAGTAAATCGAATAAAAAAGGTTTTACATTTAGCAACATGGTGAGTCCCATTTTTCATGTTTATCTTCTGTAAAAAAGCATCACATTAGACCAGATTTTGTTAATTTGAAGTGAGACAACTGACAACCATACTTAATTAGTGACACTGGCTCACTAACCCAGAGGTCATGGGTTCGATCCTAGTGTTGGCTAAGAAAGTTCCTTGGGATTTTTTAGCTTTGTTTCCCTATGTCAGTGGTTCCGTATCAAGGAGGGTGAGAGGGGGGGGGGGGTATCTGGCAAGGAACAAATAATGTGTTTAGATTGGACGAAAAAGTGAAATCCAATGGCATGCATATTAAAGATACATTATGTAAGATTTAGTTAAGGAACTGGCCATTCTTGTTATAATAGTTCAAAAATAGATAATGCAAAATGAATATATTGAAAATTTTATCCAAATTACTTTATTCTGAGTGAAGTTATCAATTTTTGTAGTTTTGACAAGATGTGTGTGTTGATTGTTTATTATCGTAACCACAGTACTGATTGTTCGAGTCTTAGCCTCGCTTCTCCATTTTTAAATTAAATCATTAATTGGCTGAACCGCTCTAATTTCCTTAAAATTGGAGCCATCTGATGACATCCATGTTGTCATGTTAGTAAATGTCTAATTAATAATTTCGATAACATTTACGGGCTAAAGAAAGACCTGCAATAGGCAGATTTAGCTCTTGCATAATTTATCTTTAAACAATCCTTGATAGATGGGATTTGATGAAAAATAGGTGGAAAGTTTAAAAACCACTGCCTAGGCAAAATTGGTCTCATAGAACACTGCATGGCTTATGCTCATCTTCATTAGCCCAGTTCATTTTCAATTAGACTTTGTAGAGCTAATAAAACCAATTTAATTTGATGTTATTTTTTGGGATGAAAAATATATGCTCTAAAAGAATGATTTCAACTTTTGTACTAAATTATTATTTCTGTTACCTAGTAAAGTAACTATATTCTCTTTTCTAGCCGTCACCAGGATATGAAAGTCGTCCCGATAGAATTTTAACATCTCATACATATCATATAGAAGAAACATGGTTGAGTGGAGATGGCAAGATTTACAAAGACCGTTACAACAATAGTATATTATATAACAGATTTAGAGTCTTATTAAAGAATACTTATGAGAATTATAGAGGAAAAACAGGATATTCTTGTGTTCACGACTGTGGCCCTAATGGTTCCTGTAGATGTGGTAATTGTGTAAAGGGAGATAACCGCGATTGTGATAGTTGTTTAGAATGTAATGGACCAATGTTTATATATTTTATTATATATTCCATGGTTTTATTGTTATGTATATTAATATTGTTGTATTCAGTTGTTAATATATTGATAATAGCAGCCAGATATAATCAAGACAATATTTATTCAATAATGGGTATAAAGTGCTGTTTATTTAATACAGAGCTTTATGACTATCAGTTAATACCCAAGCGGTACCGTAGATACAGTCAATGGAGAATATGTCAAGTTTTTAAAATTCCTCCAGTTTATTTAATGTTTATTTCTGTAATATTAGGTATATTTCTTGTATGGTTTGGTAGGAGGATGTTTGTATCTAGTTTAAATAATATATATTCTGTGATGAATGAAGAATATTTTCCTTCAGATCATTTAATGTTATCAACAAGACTTTTCCTCTCTTAAAATAAGGGGTATATATCTCAAACCCTTAAAATGAAAGTTCATTGCACTACAGGTGTATCAGGTAATATTGTTAAGTTCAGAGAGACACAAACCAGGTCATTTCAGGACCAACATATGGCACAAATTTATTTCAATAATTCACATGCAAGTAGGGGTCTTTAACAGTGGGAGAAAATTGGGGGACCCAGAGTAAACCCCTGATTTTGGACAAGTAACCCTACTCAGTCTTAAGAGTTCAATACGAACGAAACTAGTCTCTGCTAAATTGGGATAACTGGTCTAATCTCCCACATTTATCTACTCGAGTAATATTTTGATTTATAACTAGCCATTTTAAATTCATGTATATTGTTAATTTTTATTTTTTAATTTATAAATAAATTTGTTATTTGTGTATATTTGTTACAGATTATTAAATCAACTTCAAATAAATGTGAATCGGTTTATCTCGTCTGTTAATATAACATCTAGCTACCAAAATGCTGATTATCAATTTTACTAGGCGATGGCCCACTGTCCAGAAGTTTCTCCCAGTGCTGGTTGGTGGAGAAAGCTTCTCTGGATTTTCCAGTCTGAGTTAACCCTGACAATGGTCAATAAACTGATGTCGGATAGTGCTAAGATCCTCAAGTAAAAGGATGATTATCTGGATAGAATTTCTGAAACAAAAAATTAGTAGTGAGCTAACAGGAGCAAAGCCCAACAAGGAGAACATTATTCAGTACGCAGCACCAAAACTCTAATAGTAAGTGTCAGAGGACTGCACTACATGCAAACAAACCTGTGGACAAGACACAAACTACATCGACATTACAAACAATAAACAACAAATATCAATCAATTGATTAAATTTCGGATCTGATACTGGGAGGCTCTGATGATGATGATGATGCTGGAATCTGGATCACTAATCACTTACCAGTAGGTCCCGGGGGGGCGGGCCGAATGATTAACGTGGGCGTGTTGCATCATAAGGTCTGTCATGGAGTCAAGTGGCATGGTTTTGATTCCCCGCTTGTACATGACAAGGAGTTGGGTCGCCTGTCCAACCTCCTGTTTCCTCCCATTGCTAAAGACTCCTATCCAGAAGCGATTGATTGAAATAAAATTGAACCATCTGTTAGTCCCGAAATAACCTAGTTTGTGTCGGTGGAGATAAAACTCACTCTCTCTCTCTGGTTTGATCCTGGTGTTGGCTGAGATACAGCCTAGCAAGGAACAGTGTCTAGTTGTTCAGATTGGACAAAAAACTGAGGTTCTCTGTGTGGCCTATTCATGGACGTGCATTTAATAGACTATTTGACATATAGAATTAGAATTAAGAGTAGACCATAGTGTGGTTGTCTGGGCAAAATTTTTTCTGATAACAAACTGTACTTGTAGGGTGTATTCCTGTCCACATTAGGATGGTTAATTGGTGCAGAAAATATAAAATACAGAACTAACATAGACTTCAAATGAATTCACAACTATTTAAATCGACATTTATTTCAAACAGTTTTATTCACGAAAATATTCTACGAAATTCTTTATTAAAAAAAAACCTTTTTTTCGATTTTCTTTATTGTAATGTTGAGCTTCCATACATGTGGAGAAAGATAACATTAACCGGTTGTAAACAATCGGTTTAGCATTGCCTTTAATTGATTGGTCAGTTAAATTCATAGTGACTTCCGGTTGTAGACGATTATTTATTATTATTTGCAGTTTTCACGAATTTCTGAAGAAAAATGGATATTTTGATGGCAGAAATAGAGAGGAAGAGGCGGCAAATAACAGATAGCAATGTATTGGTAAATATTTTAATTCAGGATGGCCAAAAAGCCGACCTGAATCGTTAGACTTACATAGTCCCAATTCATGTGTAGCCAGCTAACTGATGATATGTTGATTGAAGTCGAAATCCAACCCCGATCGATGTTGACCTAGCTTTGAGTATTGTATCAGAGGTATTTATAATTAAGATGCCCAACTTATATGTTTCCAACGCATACATACCGATTATTTGAATGCTGACAACTCTATTTCTCATCAGTGACAATCTGTCAAGCAAAACATACATCAAACACTAAACGTATCACACAGAGATAGATAGAGTTTGATCAGCCTGTGAGTGTGTTTGTTTGTACTGTATGTTATACCTGACGAGTCTTTGACTTAAAGTAATAAAGAACTTGAACTTGTGTTATTCCCGATCACTGTAGTGTCATGGGGCTGGCAATGTTTATTTAGGAGTTAAAGTTTCTGTACAATAAGTTGTTTATACAAAGCTACATTGTAGATCAAAGGCTTACACCATCACTGTGATCTAAAACTGGCATTGGGAAATATACAACCTAAATATTTTGTTGGTGATAGATTGTCTTAAGAAAAATGATTTTTTTTACATTTTCAAGGCACCAGATAAAAAGTATTTTAAAAGAGGAGATTTAGCAGCTAAGCAAGCAGAAGATTATTGGAGAAAACATGGTCGACTTCAAGCTGACAGTGAGGTTTGTATAGAGTTGAATGGTTTAGGTTAAATAGTTTCATACCATTACCCTAACTGTTCTCAAAAAGTTTCATCGACTTTACAAAAAGGGAATATATTTTAAAATATTACTCTCTTTCGATATACAACCCCAAATACACACTACCGGTACAAGCTAAACTTATCCCACATTTACACATTCTAAACCATGTGTGTTGTGGTTCCCCTGGTAGTTCTTTCATTGGGAACCTATTCTTTATCAAGCTAGGTGGAAGTGTGTGGGGTTCATTCAGTTCCATGCTAATTCTGTTTAAACTGACGTGTAACATCAATGTATGCTTTAAACTTAATTCCAGAATACGAAAGAAAATGGTGAAAGTTCTACAAATGAAACAGATAATACTCAAGAAGAAAAACAAGCAATATTACCAAGAAAGGAGGTAAATGAAATGAAACAGGGTTTAACGTCCTACTGTTCTGCTCCACCATACAGTGTGCTATGAGTGAAATTTTGCCTGGGCAGCGGCACTATGGCCTACTCTTACATCGAATTCCAACTGCCAAAGAAATCTTTTACGTGCATGCCAATGTGTACACGGGACCTCAGTTTTTCGTCCCATCCGAACGACTCTACAGCTATCCTGGTCAGGCCCCCCGTCCTGTACGACTGACAAGGGAAAACCCTGACGGAAAATCTGTTGAACTTTCTCGGCCAATGCAGGGATCGAACACGCGACTTCCTGGCCAGTGAGCCAGCGTCTTACCCACTTAGCCACGTGGTTCCCCTAGAAGAAAAAAAAGTAAAGTAGGATTAATGGAATTTTAATGTTTCAATACTATGTGACTTCTATTATTGTCAGTAGTTTTAATGTTGATCACCTTTTATATAGATATCATACACAATTTTCAATTCAGTTAGAAATTGTTGTAAATATTATGTTTTAAAAATGATAATGTTTTTCTAGGTTATTCGTAAGTTACGAGAGAGAAATGAACCAATCAGACTTTTTGGAGAAGAAGATTTTGATTCTTATCAACGACTAAAAAAACTGGAAGTTCAAGAACCAGACATTAATAAGGTAAATAAAGTTGTTTGGTTAACTTTATAGGTAGCTGTCACCCTTCCGCAATGTGCCACAAGATAATTTTTTAAATAAAGTAAAGCATTTTTAAATCGTCACAACTTTAAAAATTGACATTTGTACATGATTTTTGTATTAAGACCATTCATGGCACATAAGGGAAATAAACATTTTGGTGATGGAATGCCTTAAAGTTCTGTCACTATTTAATATAACATTTATGTCACATTTCTGTATAAATTGTACATGTTAGTGCAGGAGGACCGCATCACACATAAATAAACAGAAACCCATAAGACAGAACCTTGGACAATACACAGACATTGCAAGCAATAAACAAAACAAAAAATATCAATCAAATAAATTTTGAAAGCCTTTGTAATCTTTTATTGCACAGTTTAATTAATCTGACACTGGTCGTTAAAGCAAATGAACCCCTTTATAGTTTTACATCTACAGACAAATACAAGGACATCAAAATCATTATCAAGTTGATGGATCTGGGTGTCTATCCATACAAAAAGATCTCCCGGATAACTAATTTCTTTGTTTTATAATTTTGATTAGGACCATGGATATGATAATGATTTTAAGACAGCTATGGATAAAGTAGATGAAGAATATTTGGTGGAGATTATGAAAGGTGAAGGAAGTTTACCATCTAATGATGTATCTGTTAAAGATGATGGTACTTCTAAAGATGATATTGACGTGAGTATCAGCAATTCATGTAGCATTTCTACCCACCTTTCAGAGAAAGCAGGGGACTATTACAGGGGAATTATGGGAGATTAGATAAAGAGCTGGCAGTTCTCACTATAATAGTTAAAACTAAGTGGATAAGAACAGTTCAGCCATATTTTGATTTAATTTAAAAATTAAGGCTAATATCGTCGCCTGCAATAGAGATATTTGAATGAAATTTTCAATATATTCATTTTGAATTATCTATTGTCGAACTATTATTGCAAGAATTGCTAGCTCTTTATCAAAATTTTACATAATGTAAAATATAAAATAAAAAGATACAAAAAAATATAAAATAAAAAGATACAAAAAGAGCCAAGGAGGCTGTGTTTACTCAATGCTATTACATTGAACAAAACAGTGAAGAACTACCGGTATTAAATTTGTAAAAATCAGGCAATATGCAAAGTCCAAAACAGAGAATTATAGATATTAATCGATAGTGTTTAAATAACTTTGATTTATTTAATTTAAACAGACTTTAAGAAGTGAAATTGGTAAAGGCGACCCTAAGAAAGATCAAGAAGTAATGTTAAGATTCTACAGGGTATGTATAAAACACAAATATGATTGGAAATTTATTCCTAGTATGTTAATTGAAATACGGGCAATTTGAAATGAAGTAAGCATTCAGGGGCGGATTGGGGCCGTGAACCGACCTGGACTCCCGTGTCTGAGCGGCCCCTTTTACTGACCGCGGAGCCCGGACGGGGGGTCCGGGGGCTCTCCCCCCTGAAAAATTTTGAAAAATGAACCCCAAATATGCGATTTGGTGGCATATCTGATTATAATCTCTGTCAAATAATATATCTCATAACTCGATTAATTTAGGCCAAAACCCCAACCTGCAAGTAATTTCCAACCATCAACCTGTGAAATTATCATATCGTCATATTATTAATTAACACATGTATCGTCAAGAGTCAAGAGAATTAGCGAATGAAACCATCTGTTACGGCGACTTCTTGACGTGTGGAACTGTGGGTAAACCACGAGAAACTTCAACACTGATTGATTAATCAATGTCTGATGTCATAGGGTCAAAAGCCGCTTGTACGACCCCTTACGCAACCTTCCAATACAACTGGTCAGATCTTCATGTAGTGTAGGTAGGCCATCAAAAGTATAAAAAAACAAACAAAATATAGATCTGTATTTTAATCAAATTGCTTTGAAAACTCTTTCAAATGGAGATTTCTTTTTCTCCTTTTCAGCTTATATTAAAATTATGGGGAGAACAATTAAACAAGAGAGAAGAAAGTTTAAAAAGAACAAACAAAGGAAAAATGCAGAGTGCTGTCCATACACAAACAGTTGCTTACTTGAAACCTTTATTTAGAAAATTAAAAAATGGAGTAAGTCTTACACAATTATATTCTAGATTGCCAAGATGTCAGTAAATAGCATATATTTCTAGTTCTACTATTCACGTTATTCATGATTGACCTTAGCATATAGGTCAAGGAATATACCCAGTTTCCCCCACACTGCCATATTATTCCTTCCTGTAGTTGAGTCAGCAGTTGTGTGGTCAAGTATCTAATGTGTGCGCTTAGATCATAAGGTCTGTAATTGAGTGGCATGGTTTCGGTCTCAAGCTTGTATGTGACAAGGAGTACTGTTACCTGTCCAACCTCGTGACTTTTCTCCAAGCCCTCCGATTCTTTCTCTCTTTCTTTCTCTCTTTCTCTCTCTCTTTCACAAGGAGTAGGGTCGCCTGTCCAACCTCGTGGGTTTTCTCCGGGTCCTCCGGTTTCCTCCCACTGCTAAAGACCCCTACGCGCAAGCGAATTATTGAAATAGAATTAAACCATATGTTAGTCCCGAAATGACCTAGTTTGTGTCGAGTGGACGTTAAACCCCATTTCTCTCTCTCTCGCTCTGTGGGTCTCTTGACTTACAGTATATGTCATTTTGAAGATCATAGCAAAACATAACGCAACAACTTGTGCTTAACATGAACATCTTACTGTTCTAAGTAAGTGTTGAAGAACTCTTAATTTATAATGCACCTTTATATTTTCTCAGTGTTTTACAAGTATTTTAAACTTTATGCAAAGATGGATAAAATAGATTTTACTAATGCAGTGAAATTATTGTAATTACATAATAGAAATTGTTCTGTTCATTGGTACATTGTGTAAATGAAATGCCACAGGCCTTTTGTATAGGATCTATTTTGGAATGGCATTTTAAGAGAAGTTTTGTCTTAGTAGAAATCGGCACTGGCCTTAAAAAATTACTCAGATTTGAATTTTTCTGGTGCACAGCTATATAACATTCCATATTCTAATGGAATGTAGATGATAAGTATTTTGTTTCAATGGTATTTAGTAATTGAACTGGATTATACAGGTCACAATTCTAAGGAATACAATTACTGCTTATTATCATGGTTGAGAGAAGCCTAGTTGAAACGTCGCTCAGTAATAAGCAGTAATTGTATTCCATAGAATTGTCACCTGTATATAGTAAGTATTGACAGGTATTTATAATTATTAATATTTTTCAGGTTGTAGATGAAGATATATTAGATAGTTTGGTGTTTATAACAGAACATGTGATGGATAAAGATTATATAAAGGTACTAATATATTTAATAAAAAAGATTATCATTTTACAATCTAATATACCTAATTGAAATGGGGAGCTTCGGTGGACAAGGTGGGTAAGTCGCTGGCTCGCTAGCCTGGAGGTCGCGTGTTCGATCCCTGCATTGGCCAAGAAAGTTCATCGTGATTTTCAGACGTGATTCACCCTTGCAAGTGGTGCAGGACGGAGAGCCTGACATGGACACCAATCTAGTCGTTCGGATGGGACAAAAAAAAAACAAGGTGTCGTGTATACATTGACACATAAAAGATCCCTTGGTAGTTGGAATTTGATAAAGACCATAGTGCCACTGCCCGGGCAAAATGTCCCTCATAGCACACTGTATGGCTTATGCCCATCTTCATTAGTCCAGTCAAAAGCAGAACAGTAAGATGTTAAACCCCATTTCATTTCATTTCCTAATTGAAATTTTGTTATAATTTTTCTCCTCAGGTAAGGCCAGCGTCGACCTACTCTCAAATAAAATATACTGAGTTTGATTTCATATTGGGGTGGTACTCACTCTTACTAGTCAGGGACTGTGTCCTCGGGGGCCGAAAAATAGAGTGTGCATAGTCATTTGGATGGGACAAAAAACTGAGCTCCACCTTTATCTCAATATTCCATTCGATTCAATGAGATGCTCTTTGTAATGATATTTAAACATACAGTATGCAAGAGCTAAATCTTCCTATTGCAGGTCTTTCTTTAGGCCTGAAATGTTATCTAAATTATTAATTAGACATTAATTAACTTATCCAGACCATAATCAACTCTTGATGTCATCGCTAGCCTGCAATGTTTATTGGATTAGGTTCCGATTTGTTGTTTGACTTCCATTCATAATTTAATCAGGAAATGGATAATCAAGACTATGTTTTTTATTGTACCGACTTTAGTAATGATGATCGAGGCTAGGTTGAAAATTCCCTTTACATTATCTACGTTTTTTTAACTATTATAGCGAAAACTGCCAGCTTTTTATCTAATCTCCCATAATGTATCTTTAATGTAATAATTTGTAATGGTATTATTAGTGACGGGACATTTAATATTATTTCAGGCTAATGATCGTTATTTAGAAATGGCTATAGGAAATGCACCATGGCCTATTGGTGTTACTATGGTTGGTATCCATGCACGTACAGGTAGAGAAAAGATTTCATCAAGATATGTGGCTCATGTTCTAAATGATGAAACACAAAGAAAATATATTCAGGTAGGATAATTGATATATTAAATTAATTATTAATTTATAACAGATTCTGGCAGGTAGCTTACCATTTCATTATTGCACTTTGCCAGAGATGACAGACCGAGGCTCTGGATTTCTTTGTGGCCTGAAAGAGTGTGGCAGCCACAGAAAGGACCTCAGTACTTTCCAGCCTAGTTTCACCCTGTCATGGGTGCAGGATGAAGGGCCTGACAAGATAAAGTGTCTCATAATTCGAGTTGGACGGAAAACTGGGGTTGAGAGTCCATGGCAGTTCGAATTCGAAGATGAGTATGTCGAAAGACAGTGTCCGGGCACAATTTCCCTCATAGCACACTGCATTGCTTATGTCTGTCTTTATTGGATTTGGTTGGTGCAGAAAAGCAAGACTTTAAAACCTCATTTCATTTCATATTTGAAAGAGAGTCGTGTTTCCTATCATCTCCTTTAGGTAGACAGGTAAAATGTTAATGTTTATCCATTGTTTGTAATATTGTAATTATTTCAGGCTATCAAGAGGTTGATGACTCAAGCACAGGAATTATTTCCTACAGATCCTTCTAAATGTTTTAATTATAAATCCTGAGAAAATTGTGGTGAATAGTCGATCTTATGATCAGAAGTAAACAATTAATTTGTCATATTATGGTGAACAGTTGATCTTATGGTCAGAAATAAACAGTTAATTTGTCATGTGCAATGGATTGAAAATCACATGGATGCGATTTGGTTCTTTTTGGATTTGTTGTGAACATAAGAAAGAGACATAAAATCCATTGAGTTTGTAGTAATCTCAAGAAAACGATCTGTGAGAATGTTTTCGTTCAGGAATGTCCTTTCAAGATTAATGGTGAAATATTGAAATATATGGTTATTTACTATATGGACAAAAAATTATATCTTAATAACTGGTCAGTTTAAGTTTACAAAGTATTTTTAATGTATGGTAAAAATTTCAATATTTCTGAGTTTGAGGATTCATCTGAATTTTTTCTCACTAATTATATTGGAATACAAGACTATATCAGGGGGCGTGGTGATCCATGATTTTGCAAGAGGAACATGAATCTGTCCTGCCCCCCCCCCCCAAATAAAACAAACAATAATTATATGTGTGTGCAGGGAGAGGGAGTGGGATAGCAGCCCTTCCTAGTGCCACTGAGTAATATTGGGCTGTGTGGAACATGCTAGAGTCGATGTTAAGCATTATGATTATGATTATAATTTTAAAAAAATTATTGAAACCACATGATTTTTTGACATTTGCGAGGGGGCGCAAAAACTCAAAACCATGACACAGAGCTCGTCATTGTGTCCCTCTCACTTAGCCCCTGATATGTATGCAATAGATATAAAGAAAGTGTGCTGCAGAATCGTAAATTATACATGTAATTAAATACTGAATTGGTATTGTTATATAAAGAATTACAATAATTGTTCTGATAATGATGTATATTTATATTTTGATTAACATGATTCATGTAATTTTTGTAAATAAAACTGAATATACTGAACTGTTTTTATGACACTTTGAATATTCATGAGTTAATTTGGTTTTACATGTTATTTTCACCAGTACTAAGTGATTTCTTTTGCATTTATTTTTTTATTTGGGTCTATTTATTTTTTGCCTTTGTGATTGGCATCAGTCAACAGAAGCCTCAGGAAACATAATCCTGTTTGAGTATCTACTATTAACTAATTTCTTACATTCAAACTACAGTTACAGCCAAAATGCCTCGCTTCAAAAATAATAAAAGCCAGTGTCAATCATTTGATTGTTTCATGACTGGAAAAATCAGAATGTAGGTAGAAAAGAGGTGGTGTGAAGAGTGGTTGTATTTTCTTTTTTAAAATTATCACATTTACAGAGAACTACTGGGAATTTGTTAAACCCAGGTTTCACTTGTCATGGGTGGTGAATAAACGAGTTCCACATAATTGTGTATTTAAAAAAAAAATGGCAGTTGGTGGGAAAAGTTCTTCAACCTCACTTTAGACTTTAGACACATGTCCATAGAAATAAAAATAATCTTATGAGCGTTGACACTTTAAAAAAAAGTAATGAATTGCCACTTCTGTCAGAGGTATTAACTGGATTTGTCTCCCTTTGAGCATATAAAATTTATTAAAACAGAGTAATCTCCCTTCTAAAGAAATTAACAATAAAATCTTCTGTCGTGAACGATCAACAATTTAATATTTAAAAACGAAAAGGAGCTGAATGCTTTGCTCTCTTCCCAGTCAAACAAACGAATATCCTATTCAAAGGTTGTTGTATTTATAGATATTGTTTTTACGACTGGATATTCCAAACGTTGTCACGTGATGTAAATAAATAATGGCGGCGTCTTCAGTTTGTATTTTTGAGTAGAGAAACTTAAAATGTATGTTGCTATCGGCTAACTGTTACTTACATATGCCTTTTATTAATTCTTATCATTTACCCAAACAACTAGTAACTATTTAAGAAATGTGCTTAGTTTAATAATTATATTTAGATTTTAATGACGGAAAATGTTCTAAAGTCATTTGCAGCGTGAGGTGCAAGTTGAAACTTGTCTTTCTTCAGTCAATGAATGATTGAATGAATCAATTCTTGTCCAAATGTCACTGTCAGTCATTGCAAGACATGCTTATTAAGAATAAGTGTCTTAATTAATCTATCCGTCAGTAAAGACTAGATTTGAGAAACAATATTTTATTATTGCATTATTATTAGCCCTTTTGAATATTCAATTGGTTAGACTTGCAGTAGACGTCCAGTAAGTAGTACTAGTAGTTAGACTTATGATGCTAGAACAAATTGTTATACAGATTCTATAATATCACTTGCTGTAAATATGAGATGATATACAACATAATGAACAAGCTTTTGTAGCAAATTCCTATAGTAGCCTACTGTATAATATAGTAAATAGGCAGGCTACTGGCAGACTGATAGTGATACTGTAAATTCACAGTTCCGAGTTCGTCTTCAAATTGCAGTCATATTCTTAAATTTTAATTTATTTCCACTATAGTTTCAGTGCACATGTTTGATTGAAGATGGCTGATAATATGAAACTTGAGTGTCGATCTCTGCTCCAGAAGTTAAAATTACAACAAAGAAACCTCAAAGAATTAATACCATCAGATGTTAATTGTGACAGTTCGGTTGTCAGTGATACATACAGTGAAAACTTTGACGCACGATCACCCGAATTAAAAGCTTCTTATGCTAGAAACAAGCTAAAAAGTTTTGTTCGTTCTCCCACCAATTCATTAAATTCATCTATTGATACGAATGCCACCCTGGACTCTTCTTGCAAACACAGTTTCAAACCTAAAGTCTATCTCCATGATACAAGTGTAGCAAAACCTAGACAGTATAGAAGAAGTCCACAGAGTGATGCACAACAAGATAAATATGCTAACGATAAGGATTATTTGAGTTCAAGGGATACTGGAAGACCAGGAGATATTTCAGCTAACTTTCTCCGAGATATAAACAACTATTTAGACAATTCTAGAGACATGACTGCAAGCACTCTCCAGAGTGATAAAATTGCAGATTTAGACGATTTCGAGAATATAGATCGTTTGTCTCAAGCCAGTGCTACGCCTCCACGGTGGTCGACAGAAAAATATTCCAGTTTACCATCAACCCCCAATACAGCACAACGCCGCAAAATAATTGATCGCAACATACCTGTCACTTCAAAATACGATGATTTTAAATTAAATACAGAATCCTCGAAATTAAATTTCAGTTATTCAAATGTAGATAATGATGAAGAGACAATGTTTAAATCAAGGGTTAATGTAGATGATGGCACCACTGATGATATTGATGAAACATTTTTAAAATCACGCCTTAATGCATCACCAGAAGACATTTTCTTACAGAAGAATAAGGACTTCAAATCAGAGAGAAGGGAGAGGGAAAGAGAAAGATTTGAAGACAGAGAAAGAAAAAGATTAGAAGAAAGACGTATGAAAGAATTAGAGAAAGCAAAAGAATTGTATAATAAACATCTAGAAGATTCAGGCAATGATAAGAAACATGTGTCTATAATTCGTGATGCTAGTAAACCTCGATCTATTTTAACATCGCCTTGCTCTAGAAATACTAGTAGTGGTAATAGAAGTAAGGTTAGTAAATCAACTAATTTAATCAATCAGCTCCTTATCTGCTTTATCGTAAATTTTAATTAGTGTTGGTGCAGGCCTTTGATCTTGTCGTTGTCAAGTATGGTTTCGATTATGTTGTTGTATTTTGTCTATATACATGTATGTTTGCCTCGTATCCATATTACTGTATTAGCTTGATAATGTTGAGAGAATGTTCTACAAAACGTCGCCTTAAAATACACTAGTACCGTAGCTGTTTTCCATAAGTATGCGCCATTTAAAGAATAATCAGATTAATTTATCCATACTGTCTGGGCATGTATGGTTTCTGATCAGCTCAAAGAAATCATTATTTTACAATTACCCAGTATTCAACATTAAAAGCCATTTTACAACACAATCGGGCATACTTCAGTTATTTGGAGGCTAACCTATGGTAATTTTCACTCCAATAGTTATGTGTGCAAAGCCAGGGGGTGAATTTTGCCGTGACAGCTGCATTTCTGCCTCTCCTTTAAATTTTAACTGTCATTTACATGTACACTGACCTGTACACAGGTAGACCTTGTTTTATTTTCCCTTCCAAACAACTAGACACACTTTGTCAGCCTCAAAGGCTTGAATAATTCTAAAGCCAGCATTTTTATTTAAAAAAACAAAACAAAGATCTTTATACAATTTTTTTTTAACCTACTGGTTGAAGTAATAATCATATTATTGCTTTCCAACATTACCATTTCTTAAATACAGTACACCAGCCCTAATACATTTGTTTTCAATTTCACTTCAGACTCCATCGAAAGTAAGTTTTCAGTCTTCCAATATATCTTCTGATACTCTACAAGATGATGTAGCTGTTACCTCTAGTAAAATGTTAGGATATGATTGGATAGCAGCTCTATTAGATAATGAGACTGGTTGTATGGATGAATCTGAGAGTTATTTTAATGATCTGAAAGAGTTCCGACGATCTAATAGAGATGAATGTAGTAATAATTTTTATATGAAGTAAGTTGTAAAATGTTTTAATAACATTAGTAATTGAACTGGAAATACATTGGACACAATTCTATGGAATACAATTACTTTTTGCAAATCGTGAATAATTTTATCAAAATTTTTGAGAAAACAAATACGTAACTACGAAAGTATTGTTTCAATGTCATTTAGTAATTGAAATTGAACTGGAAACACATAGGACACGATTCTATTGAATACGAGTACCTTTTGCCCCTAAACTGCGTTTAAACAATTATGATGACTAAAGAAGCTGGGGAGTTGAGTTGCCGAATGGTTAACGTGTGTGTTGCTCCATAAGGTCTGTTATTGAGTCCAGTGGCGTTGTTTTGTCCGATACCCCACTTGTACGTAGAGGTCTTTAGCAGTGAGAGGAAACCGAAGGACTCCGAGAAAACCCATGAGGCTGGACAGGTGACCCTTCTCCTTGTCACATACAACCAGGAAATTGAAACCTTGCCAGTTGACTCAATGATAAACCTTATCATGCAACGTGCACACACTAACCATTCGACCATCTCCCCCCATTTTAGAATTAGAAATGTTAAACTAGACATTGTTCACAAGACTCAGTTGACTAAAAACTAAATTAATGTGGCCCAAGAAAAGAATTTTAATATTTTATTTGTGTATTTCAGTAATCCGTTGACATTTGCTGAACCAAAAGAAGCATCTCCAGTTGTTAAAGCCTTAACACAGCCAAGTATTTTATATTTATTTTTCTGAAAACCAAATACTGTCTGTAACACAGCACAGCTACTATTTCATGTTACAAATTATTAATTACATGTAAAGCTTCGGACATGCTAGAAGAAAGATTAAATACAGAATCTTAAGACCAATAGTGTGCAGTTTGCAGCACTTCCAGAGTCTTCCAATCTGATTAAATTACAGATCTATATTTTTTTCCCTTTTTATTATACTTTCGATGGCCTGCACTACATGAAAATCTGACCAATTGTTTTGGGAGGTCGCGTCTGAGGTCATACGAGCGGCTTTTGACCCTATGACGTCAGACATTTGATTAACCAATCAGCATTGATGTTTCTAGTGGATTACCCAAAGCTCGCCATAACAGACCGTTTCATTGGCCAATCCCTTACATCATCCAGAACACGTCAATGATAACAACGCTTCCAGATCCTAGTGTAGTAAAGACAAGTTAAATGAAATTTTGAAGTATAAAAACGAAACGAAATAGGATCTGTGTTTTAATCAGATTAAGAATCTTCTAATCATTGTTGCAGATCAACATATCATTTAGAGTCTGTTAACCATTTTCTATCACAATGATAAATTTTATAATGGCAGCCTTGTCCATTATTTACTGTTTTCCTATAGACACTCTTGTTTTTAATACTCTGTGTTTTTTATTTCAGAAGTGAAACCTTATATAGTCAATGATCGTTTATTTACACAACCATTAAAGAAAAAACTTGTTGATGATTTAAATGATTCTGATCATGAAGATGCAACCCCAACACAGAATTCACCCAGATATGTTAGGTAGGGTTTTAGATGAAGTGAAATGGAGTTTAACGTCCTATTGTTCTGCTCCGATTGGGCTAATAAAGATGGGTATACGCCATACAGTGTGCTATGAGGGAAATTTTGAATGGGCAGCAGCATTGTGGCCCACTCTTACATCGAATTCCCACTGCCAAGGGATCTTTTACGTGCATGCCAATGTATACACGGTACCTCAGTTTTTCGTACAATCCGAATGACTAGACAGCTGTCTTTGTCAGGCCCTCCGTCCTGCACCACTGTCAAGGGGAAACCACGTCGGAAAATCCTGTTGAACTTTCTCAGTCAATGCAGGGATCGAACGCGCGACCTCCAGGCTAGCGAGCCAGCATCTTACCCACTTAGCACCGTCGCTCCCATGTAGGGTTTTAGCTTTCTGTTGATTTCAGAATAACTTGATCTGAATATGCAGGATAATGCCTAGAGTATTTGAAGATTGTTAAACCTGAACAATTAAACCATGACATGTAAAATATTGTAATGTAATAAGATTTTTATTTATGATTGATATTTAATGATTTCAGAGTAAGCATACCTCGATCTACGTTAGAGCAGCCATATAAAATGAAGCCTCATCGTCGAAACAGTTTTGATCCAACTGATTCCTGTTCATTAAGAGAAGTGTGTATTATATTTATGTCTATAATCTTTTAAACTATAAATTTATTTTTATTTACTCCTCTGCCCCGCTGGTATCTTTTTCTTGATCCAGTATCCATGCAGATGTATCAGCCTGACCAGCTTTAGTCACCTTGTCAAGGGAGTGTTGCCGTCCCTCTTATTTTATCCTCTTTTAAACTGTAGTTAATTCTACAGAACTTGATGCAAAAGTACTTTTATTCTATTTTTGGAAAACCAGGGCATTTGATGTTTGAAGGTTTGGATTAGGTAGATACTGTTTCAACAATGACAACCATTTTTAGCTGATTTTGCAATATTTTAAGTCGAAGGATCCAGAGAAATGGCAAAAAAAACCAAATATATCCAACAATTAATTTCTAATTAAAAGGATAATTAAGATGTATACAGCTGAGAAAAAGTATTTTCAAAGAAGGAATGACTTTGATTAGCACACCTCATAAAAATTTATGACCATACTTTATTATCCAATAAACACATAACTTTTATACCTGTTTCATTATAACAGACAGGTATCATACACTTAATGAAATAATATTACATATGAATTATTTTATATTAACAGCATTGTTTATTGGGATGGGAGAATTCTACATTATCAGCGTTACCTACAGCTTCTAGTGTGGATATTAATGAAGCTACTGATGGACTTAAACCAAAAATGACAACAGTAAGTAATAATGTTTGGTCAATAGTCTTAATTTTCTCTTCAAAGAAAGTGTTAGTTAACACCACTGATCAGGCTGATAGTTATTTGAGGAATGGTTAATCCCTGGTGAACTGGGGGGGGGGGGTTGGATGGCCAAATGGTTAGCATGTGCGTGCTGTATCATACAGTCTGTCATTGAGTCACCTGGCGTGGTTTTGATTCCCCGGTTGTGCGTGACAAGGCGTAGGGTTGCCTGTCCAACCTCATGGGTTTTCTCAGGGTCCTTCGGTTTCCTCCCACTGCTAAAGACCCCTATACGTAAACAAATTATTGAAATAAAATTGAACCATGTGTTAGTCCCGAAATGACCTAGTTTGTGTCAAGTTAAACTCCATTTCTCTCTCTCCCCCCTTGTGAATTACAATATGATGAAAGTTGAATCTGTAAAAGGAATATTATTTTACAATATTCGGTATCCTCTGCAGATGATATAAACCAGGGTGGCTAGTAGGTGGGTAAGACGTTGGCTCGCTAGCCTGGAGGTCGGGTATTTGATCCCTGCAGTGGCAGAGAAAGTTCATCCAGATTTTCCGGCAGAGTTCCCCCCTTGTCAGTGATGCAGGACGGGGGGTCTGACAAGGACAGCTGTCTAGTCGTTCGGATGGGAAAAAAATTGAGGTCCCGTGTACACCTTGACGTGCACGAAAAATATCCCTTGGCACTTGGAAGTCGATATAAGAATAGGCTGTAGCACAGCTGTCCGGGCAAAATTTCCCTCATAGCTCACTGTATGGCGTATGCCCATCTTCATTAGCCCATTTCGGATCAGAACAGTAGGATGTTAAACCCCATTTCATTTCATTTCGATATAAACCAATATGGGTTGAAAACTGATGGCATGCACATGAAAGGTCCCTTGGCAGTTGGAATTTGATGTAAGAGTAGGCCCTAGTGCTGCTGTCTGGGCAAAATTTCCCTGATTGCACACTGTATGGTGTATGCCCGTCTTCATTAGCTGAACATTAGAATGTTAAACCCCATTTCATTTCATTTCATTATTGATCTCTGGTATAATCTAGACTATTTATTACAGACATTAGCTGAAGCTGAACGTATTGCCAGCACTGGAACACAAATGTGGCCTTTCATAGCTCCCCCTGCACGTGTTGATCCATTACCTACATGGAGAAAGAATTATCAAGCATCAGTTATGAATTTATCTCATCCAACATCCATGACAGATTCTGTGATTCCAGGAGATTCGGAATCTTTAAGAAAATCCACTAATAGTCTGCTCAATTCTACATATTCCTTAATGTATGAAATGGAAAGATTGAAGAAAGAAAGAGAAAGTACGAAAGCTTGAAGTAGATTTATATCTTAAATCGAACAGTTTTAAAAACATGACACAGGGATGCTGTTTCGGCCATAGATGCCAGACAGAAAATACGAAATATTTGTAGTGGAAGTCTATGAAAGGGAAAGGAGGCTTATTGATCCTATTTCCAAAAGATTACTGCGATTGTTGATGAACCAATTCTGGCCTCTTGTTAACCCTAGCTAAAAATATCCAACAAGCAAAATTTCTAAACATCGTATCTACTATGACATGCATTTATCAATAGTCATCATAACATTTAAATCATTATTACCTCATTGATCATTGCAGTTAAATATTCATTAACTGATTTCTAAATTGGTGACAATCTAAAGCACAAAACACTATATAGCATATTCCCATGCTCATTAGCCTAGTTGGTGTAGAAAAGTAGGAAGTTAAACCCCATTTCATTTGATTTAATTTCTAAACGCACAGCGCACACCACAAAAATATTAATCAGTGTTTGTATCAGGAGAAAAGTCAGGGAAGATCTTTTGGGTCATATAATTTATTGCAGATCAATAATTGTTCGTTCATGATGTAAAGCCAACAACATATAAGCCAGGGTGTGCTCTACATAAGCCTCAAATGTGTTAATTTTCTCTTTATTTTTCAAAGTTCTGTTGGAATGTTATAGTTTTGGATACTAATATTTCTACTTATTCACAAACATTATTGAGTTTTATTTACAGTTGTAGTTGTTGAATTTTATTATAATATTAACTGCTGAAAATTATATTTTATACTTTTGGTAACCTTCAACCTCAGTATTTTTGTAAATATTTACTTGCACAATTTATATTTTTGACCAATTATCACTTTATATTTGAACAAAAGCTATTCATAAAAGACATTTAAGACATTCCTGAATGCAGTAACCAATGGCATAGTTAGGGGGAGAGCAAAGGGACTTTAAGGGAGACCATTTTCAAAATATATTTAACTCTTTTGTTCACTTGTTCTATGTATTTCAATTTAAAAAAAGAAAATATTTGATACATTGATTGCTTCCCTAATTTAAGAACCAAGAACCTTGTTACGACCATGACTGTAACATTTTCATAGACACAAAGAATTTAAGGCATCTCAAAATAATCCAGGTACTTTAATTATGTGTTTTTCTAAGCAACAAGTGTTTTTTATTTACCCCATATTATAAGTACCATTAGTCCACATTCAGAAATTGATTCTTAACATAATTCAGTGTTCAATTAATTTTATTTCAAGTAATTACAACTGTAATGCCAACATAATTAATATTATTTCAAGTTAATTACAGCTGTAATGCCAACATAATTCTGTGTTTAATTCATTTTATTATGTTTGTCATTAGTTAGAATTGAATGTTAATTACAGCTCTAATACCAATCAAATATTGTGAGGGTGTTATAAATGATTTAAATTATCAAATTAGAATTGGTTGTAAAAGTTGAATTTTATAAGCTATTGTTATCTGATATAAATTTTATTGCAAATTTAAAGTTATGTTTTTGTGTTGATGTATGTAACTTAGTAAATACTAGTACTGCAATACAACCTTGTGGGTTTTATCCAGGTCATCTGGTTTCCTCAAGCTGCCAAAGAATTATTGAAATAAAAGTGTGAAATGTTAGTCCCGAAATGACCTAGTTTGTGTCAAGTGGGTGTTAAACTCCATTTCCCTCCAGTGCTGCATGTAGGAGCAAATGATGCGCTAGGACTAAATGACAAAATCACAGGTTACACAAGTTTGATACTGAACAGACCTGGCATAATAATTCAAATACAGTAGCAGCATTTGGTTGCCATGGGAAACACTTGATATTTTCGAGCCACGCATTTTATAAAATATTCCATATTTTACCAGATTCAACTGTGTATGGTTTTAGTTGTGTACTGTATTACAGCCAATGAAAACACAGCTGCTCCAATCACACAAAACATTATAAACTTACTAAAGTTATGTGCATAACACAGCTGATGTCAGCCAGCAGGTAGGTAGCCTGTCCAATCTCGTGCACTGTCTAGCCCAGTTTAAAAAATTTGCATATGAAACTAGATTAGTCCCACTGATCTGCTTGGCAAATTACTAAATGTGGCCCCCACAAATGAGTCACTTGGAAGCATTACTCTCCCCTCGCCCCACACACAAGCCACTTACACAATTACAGCATTTTCCACCTGGGATGGTAATTGTTGCAGTATGTATTATTTTGGACTCTGGGGTTTGAAACAGGTTTAATTATTGTCAGCATATTTCAATTTAGTTTAACTAATGCAGTGGACACACTAGGGTTCGGCCGAATCAATCAGCATCGAAATTCGTCTAGTGTGTCCACTGTCATTCAGCCGAATAGAAATTCGGCCCAATGATTCGCCCGAATCAAACAAGTTTGATATATATGCCAAAGCATTTGCACGAATGTAGAATTCATTAGCCAATCCGCACTCATATCGAGAAATCACGTGATTGTTTGAAGACATGGTTGGCACCATGTTTCATTATGTGACACGAGTGGTGATGCCATCAACTGGTGAATCGGGCAAAGCATTCGCCTAGTGTGTCCACGCATTCGACCGAATAAAATTTGTCACCAATTGATTCGGCTAACTGACTAGGTATCTGGTTATTTTGAATTCGATGTTACATTTCAACAATTACACTTAATGTCTTGTAGAAAGAACTAATACCTCCTTTATATAATGACGTGTATTTAATCAGGGTTTTATTCAAATTTCTCACATGAGGCAGGTAAGGTCTCCTGATATTCAGTCATTTTTCACCGCCAGTTTGTCAAGACTGGCAAATTTCACTGAACATATATAGAGCCCCTCTATGAAGAAGTGAAATGAAATGAAATGGGGTTTAACGTCCTACTGTTCTGCTCCAAACTGGGCTAATGAAGACGGGCATACGCCATACAGTGTGCTATGAGGGAAATTTTGCCAGGACAGCGGCACTACGGCCTTCTCTTATATCGAATTCCAACTGTCAAGGGATCTTTAACGTGCACACCAGTGTGTACGTACACGGGACCTTGGTTTTTCATCCCATCCGAACAACTAGACAGCTGTGAAGAGACGAGAATTACCTGATAATTTTCTAATGATATCTTTAAGACCACATAGTTGGATACACGATTCATATTGTCACTAGTATCTTGTCAAAAATCATAAGATAACAATTCTAGTATTTTACAAAATTTAATACATGATTGATAAAACGCTTGAATGTTTTACTACATATCCAAAGACACAAATATGGTTGAAGTATATAAATATATAAAACAGTAATCTCTTGCAAACTACAATCATAATGAATTGAAAATTTCGCAATATTTGACATCCTAAAAAAAAAAGAAGCCAATTGCAAGCTGGAGATTTTCTACCTTTGAAACTTTGGTTTTGTTTTCTTAAAGCGGCTCTGATTTTAAGTAGATTAGAATGGTTTAATTTTAAAAATGGAGAAGTGAGGCTAAGACTCCAATAACCAGCACCATGGTTACAATAATAAACAATCAATGCACACATCTTGTCAAAATTACAAACAGTGATAACCTGCCTCAGAATAAAGTAATTTAAATAAACTTTTCAATATATTCTTTTAGAATTATCTATTTTTGAACTATTATTGCAAGATAGGTCAGCTCTTTATCCAAATCTTACATAATGTATCTTTAATTAAATGATAAATATAATCAATTTGAGTACATTTTAGCGTGAATTAAACCATGAAAACTAGGATATTGTCAATAAATGTATGATTATAATCAGCAGCTTTAATAATATTAAAATGTCCTTCATATACATTTTATGTGTCGACTTGTGTTTTATTTTTACATTTAAGCAAAATTATCAAGTCAAATTATTTAAGTATCAGCATATTTGATTTCTACATTTTAGCAAAATTTTGATTCTAATATTTGCATTTAAGCAGGGGGTGGACTGGGTAGCCTGGGCCCTCGAACCTATCGGTTTCCTTGGGCCTATATATATCATAGTGAAAATTATGTGACATGATGAAAGAACTAAAACTAGCTTGATTCAACTTTCCTGTACCCCACTCATAGATCAATGTTTCTTCTTCTCGGATTTAGGCCATTACATTTTTCAATGAATGTGAAGATGCATTTTGATTCTATCCGAATACTTCTGTCTGGGGAATAAATATTCTAACAAAGAATAAAACTCAAACTATTCAGATGTATTATCTGTAATAACAACCAGAGACATGTTATATACTATAACAATAAACTCTAAAATAAAAATACAACATTTACACAAATACATTCTATACAAAGATATTACATTTTATTTGTGGTAGTTGCAACTAAAAAAAAAAGGTCTAGAATTAAAAAAAGCACTATTTAAGAAATGTAACAATAATTAATTATATATACAAATAAAAACATTATAATATTATGTAATTATGTACATCCATGAAACTGATCAGTAAAAACGTAAAATGTTGATGTTTTAATGACAGGAGAGATACAATATCTACATCAGAGCTTTCGCCTAACCATATTGCCAGTTAGTCAATTTTTTTAACACATTTTGTTTACCTCAGATTAGTATGACAATTTGTAGCAGAGTTTTTAATCCATTTTGAAACGAGAAATGAATTGAAATAGGGTTTAACATCCTACTGTTCTAATGAAGATGGGCATACGCCATACAGTGGGCTATGGGGGAAGTTTTGCCCGGGGAGCGGCACTACAGCCTACTCTTATATCGAATTCCAACTGTCAGGGGATCTTTTACGTGCATCCGGTTTTGCGTGCCATCCGAACAACTAGACAGCTGTCCTTGTCAGGTCGTCTGTCCTGCATCACTGACAAGGGAAAACTATGTCGGAACATTTTGAAATGAAATGGCCAGAATTGGGTCAAATGAGTAGGAAATTATTATAAGCTTCCATTCCCTTTAATATACCCAGACTTCAACAAAAATAATTCTTGGTAATTTGTTATGAAGAATGTCGTCTTCCGAATAGGTTTATATACGTGACTACCACAAAAATAACGACAAATAGGTACACCTTTCTGAAAATTTTCCATATTTAATTTATGTACCAGCTTCAAGTTCACATCAGTAATATTTCTGAATAAATTACTGTCTTTGTTTATTCGATGAATAAAGCAAAACATTGATGATAATATCTATAGATCAATTATCTCAGTTTTTACACCAAAGATCTTTAAATTTAAGAGTATTTATTGTATTTTAAGATTAAATTTCTATTTTTATGACAAGTAAAATGACTGTCAGTAAAGTTCTCCAGCCAGTCAATTTCACTGCTAGTCAGTCAAGACTGGTTAATTTGACTGAAACGAGAGTCCTGCTCCCAACCTCTTGATTGACATTTAAAAATCTACAAAACTAGTATGAAATGATGCATGTACATAATGTTAAAAAAAAAATAGTGATTTGAAAAAAGAGTTTATAATTGCGTTCAATAATGATAAAGATCTTAATACTAAATTGTTTCATTTTGGGTAACGAAATCCTAACGCTACCACAGAATTCCTGATAGATGAATTTTCTGTATGGAAATGACCTTCCCAACTGGTCTGATCTCCAACCCAACTGGTATGATTTCCTGAATATGTAACACCGTTATAAATTAGAATCTATTGGACCGACTCAGTAATACATTCTCACACATTGATCTAAACCATGGGTCCACAATCTATTCAACCAGAGGACCAAACTCAGGAAGGCCAGGGAGCCACAACTCTAACAGAGCCGAAAAAAGGCTAAAATCACAAGGTAACAGTCATAATTTATTAATGAGACATGAAGAGGTAACCCGCAAGGATAGGCCTCGAGGGCCTTACGAGTCCTATATGTTGGGGGTCACGGTCTGAACACTAATAATTCAAATAGAATAATAAAAACAGGTCAAGTTATAATTAAAACGCTGATATGATTAAATCTAGAATAAACAATAATAAATATACAAATATTTACATCATAAACATACAGATCATTCAGATTTATAAATTTGTTCCGTGATCCGAAGATTCCGAGGTGCTGCGTAACGATAATCGTTTTGTAGGAACTAAACTACTTCGTTTAGGAATTGGAGGTGGAGTTAACTGAGTTTTATCAGAGTCTTGTGATTTTTTACTAGGAAAGGGTGGTATTTCTGGACGTGCTGAGCTATGAGATGATGGTATTCGAGGTGGGAGTGGAGGGTGATCGCCTGATCCATTTTCACTGCTGTTCACTTCTTTTAGAGTTGTTAATGTATTGCCTTGTATCTGACCGGTGTTCATGGAGGCCGATCGCTGTAAATACACAGAGAAAACTTTTGAGATACAGGAAATATATGAGTGGTATATGGTTACAAAAATGAAATGGAGTTTAACGTCATGCTGTCTGCTCCGATTCGGCTAATAAAGACGGGCCTACTCCATACAGTGTGCTATGAGGGAAATTTTGCCTGGGCAGCGGCACTACCGAATACTCTTATATCA